ATCAATATGTTTGTGTTCACTCCTCTGAATGTAACCGGTGTATTATCAAAATTGCTTCCGTTCTTCAATGTTCCACTAACATAACTTACATGCCCTCTCCCAGAACGATCCTTTGCAGTTACATTGAACTGAAAACCAACAGCACTTGCAGGACTGTTTGGAAGATCAACAAACTGCCATGAAATGGACATAAAATCTTGAGTGAGTCGGCAATCGCTGCACTTGAGAGTTATGGTTGGCCCCAAGCTTGTGTTGCGACACGAAAAGTTTAGAAAATTTGACAGAGGAAAAACTTTTCCTTCAATGAAGCCAGAACTTCCGGTAAGTAAGGTAGTAGGACGTTGCAAGTTGGAGCAGCTCATACTAGAAATAGCGGTCATATTAAATTCCATGTCATTCCTGAAGGAGGCTAGGTCAGGTGCATTTGTCGCTTTCACATTATGCACTTCAATGGATCTCTTTTCTATGATTTGGTAAAGCAACCTAGAAACAATCAGGAAGGGGGGACGGTGATAAGTCAATGTGCATTCATATGTCAAAAGGACATGAGAAAAACATCCATAAGAATTTGATTATCGAATGATTGCATCAAGTAATTCATATGCTAGTTGGAAAAGGATGCTATCCTCACTCACGCAGCAAACAACCCAGTGAAAAGTATCCAGCTTGCAATGGAGAAAGTTCCACCAAGTTCTGTTTTCCGTTTCACAACCAGCTTCTGATCATCCTACATAAAGAATTATAAAAATTAACGCAGCATCATGTTTTTACATCAAGAAAGTATGGAAAAGTTCATTCTTTATGAAAGAACATGCTAACAAACCTTTTATGAAGCCAACATTGTGATTTCAGAAATCAGAATCATTCCTTAGTTATTAGAATCTCAAAGTCATCTTGCTATACTATCATACACAATGCTATCTTTCAACTGTCCTAAGTAATATCCACGTTACCAGTTTTAAACAATAATACTCCCAGTTCCAAGTGTACAAAAATTAAGTACATTTCATTCAAACACAGTAACGAGGACTTCTTAAATTGCTAACAGATACAAATCCCTAGGTCACCCCAAATTTTCAAGACAATCTAAAGCACAACCAACTTACTAAATTGAGCCGTGCTATCACCCTATACATACTTGTTAACTTTAAAAAAAAAAAAAAAAACCACCCATGAAAGATACATCTAGATTAATTTCAAGCGTTGAAAAAGAAAAGAAAAGAAAAAACCTTATCAGTTATCATTAGCGACTTGATTTAGAACCTGAAACTTTCAGCTTAGACATCTCAAGTTCGAATCCTAGAAAGACAAGGTACCTTTTTCGTGTTCGAATGTATCAAAAGAAACCCAAAAAGAGAAAAAAAAAACCATTACTCAGAAGAGAAAAAAGGACTAACCAGCCAATGCCTGGTGGCAAAGCAAACATCCAAGCGACTAATCCACCATCTGATCCTAAACCAAACATTTCTTCCGTCACCAAGCTTTGTAAACCTTAAGAAGAAGCAAAACACGAGCCAAGAAAGCAACATTACAAGAGTAGCTTCCAGGAACACAGCTTGAGACTGAGTAAACTTCTTGATTGAATCAAATGAGAAAATGGTCTGAGGAAGCGACACCGCATAGTAATCAATCCCGGAATCAGTTTGTATAACTGAGCTGCCACCATAGAGAGTGCAGCTGTTGGCTGTGAGGTTGAGAAAGTGGCCAACTTGACAGGCACAGTGGCTGCCGTTGTACAAGAATGAGTTTTTGGGACAGGACATCTTTTTAAGCTTCAAATTAGCATTGTTTAGATTAGTTCTGAAATGGGTTTTCAATGAGATCTTGAAGGTTTTCTTTTTCCTTTACTTTCTCTTTTTCCTATTTGGTGGGTTTAACTTCTTTTCTGTTGGGTTATTCTATATTTTTGTTTGGGGAAAAAGAAAGATTTCCAGACAAAGATTCGGGGAGAAGGAGAAGGGAGAGGGTTGGGTTATGTCCGAGGGAAAGATGTTAGAAATCGTGAGAGTTTGGGGTTCTGTTTTTCGGTTAAGGAGAATCAGAGTTGGAAGGAGAGAGAGAGAGAGAGAGAGAGAGAGAGAAAAGCTGTGAAGGAAAGAAACGAATGTTTTTGAGAGTTTAGACCACATGACACGGTGACAGAGCTAGAGCTTGTCTTTTTTTTTCAATCCACATCTTTCCTTTATTTTTCTTTTACAAAAGGTCTAAACTTCGATATTTCAAAAAGAAAGCTTATATTTTCTTTTGATGAACAAGAGGAAGAAATGGACGACGATGCTGATTATGCATTGACGGCGGTGGGGGGCCACTTGAAAGTAGGTGTGCCAAAGCGTGAACTCAACCAAAGGCAATGTGAAAATTTGTTGTTGAACGGCTCAGAACTGGCCAGAATTGGGTGCTTTTTCTCAAAGAATCTCTCTCTTTGTTTCCGCTTTTACAAAGAGAAATCTGATTACAGATGGCATTTATTGACTCAACTAAATCGCCTTGTTGTAAAGGAGATGATCCCAATTTCCCAAATGAAAATTACAGGGCAGCTGAACGAGGAGATAGCAACATTAATATCAGTACAACACATTAATTGGTCGCCAGGAAGAGGCCATAGCCATAGCCATAGCCATGCCAAACTGTGTGCCAACAATGTTGAAAAGTTGCCTTGGCTTAGATTCGACTCATGGTTTCTTTAGTCAGCAATGAGAAGCACAAAGAAATCCAGAATCCAATTCCAATTTTTCCCAGCATTGGAGCAGTTGCTCATAAAGACCTGACTTTTACTCCTCGTACGTTCAAAGAGAAAAAGTCAATTTATGAAAGTCGTTAGCATTGCAGGAGTACTTTTCTCGTGAAGACCACCTGCCTTACTCTTTTGAACGCTGAATAAACGAAATAAAAGTCAATTTTAAGAAATTCAGTGATCAATGGTAGGGTGAGCCAAAACATTTCCAACCAAATAAAATCCATCTCAATTGAAGTTTGAGTTCCATCTTTTCGTTTGATTAGAACCATTTTCGGGGTGTTTGGTTTTATAAATATGATTATTTTGGTCAATTCGACTTAGTTTATGGTTAACGTACTTGAATTAATATAAATTTAAATTATTTTTTACATATTATTATATGTTTTAATTTTTATATTATTCAATAATTATATATTAAATTTAAAATATTATTGAATATACTTTAACATGTTAAAATTTATATTTATATATATTATCTTAAAATTTAGTAAGATATCATAAAAGATTTATTTCAATTGGATTTTTTGAAATCAATTGAAATAATTCGATTTTCAATTGATTTGGTTAAGTACAATAATTCGGTTTCCTTCAATTTTTCACTTAAGGTAAATTCAATTTTTTTTATTTTTAAAATTTTAACACTTCACCAACCATTTTCACACATCTAATTAACAGTTTATTTTCATTTTTGCAGAGAAAAAATTACAAATTAAAATATAGAGAAACAAGAAAATAGATGTCACCGGGGAAAATTTAAAACCAAAAAAGAGAAACATGAAAGATATGTGGCAACGATGAAATTCATTTTGTAAAAGTAATTGCCATTAATTAAGACTTTTGGTTTATAAAACAAGCTAATAAACTTATTTGCAAGCTACACTAGCTCTCCTATTAATGAAAAATGTTTTTTAAGATACCTTTTAGCATAAACAAAGTGAATTTTTTTCCTTAAAAAATTTAATTAATGAAAAAATTTTTTCCGTACTTAGTATGTTGTACGTCAAAAATATAATCTTATCTTCTCATGAATTTAATTTCATTAATCATCTTCTTAGCAATAATATTTCCATGAATTCAACTTATAGAAAAACGTCAAACGTAACTTTAGATTTAATTTAACGTTATAATTAGATTGAATAAGTGTAATGGAAAATGTGGATAACCAATCCTTTAATTCAAACGTCAATATATACAGTGAAGACTTTGAGAAATCATTTAATTATCAGCGGATGAAACCACAAAAAAAAAAAAAATTGCCAACCATCATTTAATATTTCCTGTGAAGAGTTCCTACTTTTAATTAATGAAGTCAGCCAAGTCAAGCATGTCTCCTTGAACATAAAACTCAATTTTTTTGTTTGAAGTAAGTGGACTTTCAGGTGAATAAAGTGTTTAACAGAATATATATATATATATAGTTTTTAAACCTTTATTTATTTATTTTATTAATTTATTAATAATTTTAAATATATATCATAAATAACATGTTTGATGTGTAGGAACCCTTAATCCTGTTGCCAGAGAAGTGTATACCAAGGCAAGAAATTAAGGTTAAACACAGATGAAGAAGCGCAGAGAATTTAATGAATGTTATTGATAGGGCACATGCATAAAAATGATGACATTCAACACTGGCACACGATGATGGCACTGCCTGGATGATTACATCTTTGTTAGGCTAGCTGTTTACACTGGACTCTCCTTCCTGTTATTGCTTAATTATGTATGCATAGAGATGGGGCTCATCAAAGAACAATTGCCTTTACCTTTCTAAGCAGATCCCCTGGATGGGCATCAGGAAGAAAAGTTTGAAAACCAATGATTGTCAATATGCCAGGGCAATCATGACAGGCCTTTTGTATAGTTGTTACAACCGTATACAAGGTTTCAAGTACTGATTTGAATAGTTCTCGTGAGAGCTTTTTGGGTGTAGACAGACGGTACTAACAAGCCTGAATCTGGTACAGAGGTCGGTCAATGGTGAGCTGTGACTGTATGGTCTAATGTGGGACGGAAATGTCCAAACAAAATGGGACAAGACAAGCCCCTTTTTCAGCCCTCCTTTTATTCTAGTATAGACGACATGATTAATTCCACTTACAAGCAATTTTAGCCAAAAACCTTGATGTAGAGCAACTCATTGAATTAATCATATTAATTGGTACACATGATATTAACCACACATCCCCATATCCATAGTCTATACTCAACAGTCATGGGATATGTCATATATGTTGTACCAATACGAAAAATGAGTCCATGAAGCCAAACACCTTGTACGGCCACCAAAAACTTTTCTAGCATTGAATATATTGAAAACAGAAAATAAGGTCCCCAAAATTGCTGGTGCTAAACATACAGGAGGCAGCCTACTTGGCTGAGGCTTTATTCTATAATTCAATTATTGAGAATCAAACAAACAAATGAATACATCTCATATAATGATACAATTATGCGGAAAAAATCAGTAATCTCGTCTCCTACTGTTAACAAGACCGCTAGCAAAATTATCTTCTTCCTTCTCTACTTCTTCCAATAAATAGTTATAATTGGGATTATAAGCAACAACTAAGCGCAAAAACTTTAATGCTTCAACCTTACGCCCTGAGTCAAGTAAAGCACTGGAAAAACCCAAGTCCAACATGAAACATGTAAGCATTTGTATACAAGATTGAAGTAAAAAGAGATTGCAAGATAATCGACTTTCAGCAGAAAATATATACTTAAAATTCGAACCTTGAGAGCAACAACAATCCATCAAAGTAATGAGCTTTGCTCTTGGGATCCTCTGGCTCTTTCAAATTTGCAATTCTTTCCAGGTGTGCAAGTCCTTCTGCCTTCTTACCCTGTGACATAAGGGGGGAATGGGAAAAAAAAAAGGTGAAAAGCATTGCAATGCTTCATTAAATGAACTTCTGGCTCTTAACCTTACCAATGAAATTCACACAATCATGGGCAAGCCTACATTAGTTCCAATGTATGGAGGATAGTTTAGATAGAGATATATAATGGCATGTTGACAGACGAAATAGGAAAGATATTGCTTCACCTGTTTCATATAGACAACACCAGCCCATTGAGATGATAGAATTAAATGATCAACATCCTCAACTTCTGTCAGATGGCCAGAGAGAGAGAGCTGATACAAGTCAAAAAATTAGCTCGTCATTAGTTGGGAACCAAAGGATGGAGTCAAGAATGATATTCCAAAGTAAACCATGACTTTACACCAACAAAAATTCTGAACTTAAAGGCACTTAAAATATAAGGAACATATGCTACTAATGTGTTAACTTTGAATCTTTTCAAAAAAAAAAAAGAAGTGTCTTAACTTTTAATCTAATGGCTTACTAAACAATAACTTTGCATTTTATTAAAAAAAAATTCAAACCTTTGAAATGGCATCCTCTAAATATTCACTAGCCTCCACCAGCAGTCCTTTTTGCATTAGAGTCTGCCCCATGACAACCATAGCTTTTACATATTCAGGATCTTTGTCAAGGGCCAATCTGCAAAGAAATGTTAATTTTACAATGCAAAAAGCCAGTTGACATGTAGAAAGAAAATAATAGAAGAAATGAAAAGGTAAGACAAGTAACTAACTTTAGCAATGAAATTGCTAGATCTTTGTCCTCTCGTGACAAGTGTTTGATTGAAAGCTGCCAACAATTCCAATTAAAATGATGTGAGAACTTTTAACTAACCTCTGCTACTTATATAATGTGCTGAGTTCCTATGCTTAGACACTTACCGCAAGCAGTTCTTTAGGACTTAAGTTTTGAACAGCAATTCTGTGTTGCTTTGAGGGTGGCTCCACAGATGGTGTTCCTGCTGCACTACTTTCTCCAGAATTTTCTACTCTTGCAAGAGCATCCTTATCTGGTAAGCCCAACTTTGCACGAACAGCAGGGTGTTTGAGGGTTAATTGCTGCAATGTTTTTTACAGTGCATAGAGACATGTTAACTTAATCTATGATTCGTGCTTAAAGACAGCATAAATAATGCCTAAAGTACTTCAGGACCATTCCCATTTGGGTATCCATCACCAACAAAGGATAGCAATGCAATTACAAATTAAGTAATATTCAAGCATCTCCAAGAACCAGTATATAAGTTATAAATCATAGGAACATTGAATAATCAATAAAAATAAGTGAAAGAATGATGGTCAAATGCATATATCTCTTCTTTTTACTCACTAAAAAGTCAAAACCAATTTCAGTAGCGTAACATCCCATACTTTAGTATATGCTTGAGAAAGACCTTCAGGGTGATAGGGAGGTGAATTGAGACTGATTGAGATGCCTTGGAGCTTGGAAAGGTGAAATAAGAATTTTTAAACGGAATTAAATAATATTATCTCGATTGATTGTTGCAAATTTAGCTAAAAATGTGATGAGTATGATTGGTATAAGTGGGGGAGTGAAAACTGTGCATATGAGATACATTGTAATGCATGCACATCAAAAGAATATGATCGAGTATGATAATAGTACAAATGTGTACAAATATATTTAAATATTATTACGATATATTGATGGCATGCAAAATGGTTATTTTGCAAGTGTATGGATAAAGGAAGAAAAAATAAAAGATAATTGAAGTCAAAAGAATGGCTGAAGGACCTAATTGAAAAGAAGAAAAGTTTGGAGGGTTAAATTGAAAATAGAAAAAAGTCCGAGGACTAAAAAAAATGAGAGAAATGCAAGTGAAATGCAATGCATGCATGGATGGATCAAAGGAAAACCATGGAATCTTAGTGAATTAACCCATGGTTTCAAAAGAAAGTGAAATGATGTGTTATGAAAAGAAGAGATGTAATGATTACATGGCATTTGATGTGACAAAGGAAAAGTGAAATGATGTGAAAAGAAAAGTGTAAAAATGGCATAGCATTTGATTTGAAAGGAAGATTACTTTAAGCTTTCAAAAGTAAAACCTAAATAAATGAAAAGTGAAACAAAATTGTCCGTCAAGGGTGACATGAATAACAAAGTTACAAAAGTATACAATAAAAAGGGGAAACTTCGGAGAATCTGCTCTCAGCGAAAGGAAAACAAAGTTTTGCTTCTTGATTCCTCACAAACCCAAGAGCTCATTTCTCTCCATTTTCACACCACCACCACAAAGTGGCTCATTCAATATCAAACAGTGCTATCCATCAAGCACAACACAATTAACTAATCAGCCTAGGCATAATCCATCTAGGCAATATATCACCTAATCATGTTCCATGGCAATGTATACACATGCCTTATGCATTACATGCATCAATCACAATAATCAAACAAATGCCCTACTTACCTTAGCTTGGTGGGATTTTTCTTCACCAATCATTTATCCTCAATGAGCCTAACCATTTCATGGTTGCACCATTTATTACCCTCAATCAGCTACCAAAATCATATCGAAACAATTTCTCAATCAACAGTTTCATCAAAGACTTATTAGCTTATATTAAATCATAGTTACCTTTATCTAATTTGACTAAACGGTAAAAAAATCAATAGTTCTCTTGTAATGTAGCCTTGGGTTCCTTGCAAATCACCAACATGCAAGGGTTTCCTTGTACCCATGTGGTGTTTGTCTTGCTGCCATGAACTTTTACACAATCACCAACCCATTTCCTAAAGAAATTCATAAGCCAAAAATCAAATTCTTACCCACCTTAACTTGCTTGAACCCCTGAGCCACTCATGCTCTCTTCTTCTTGATTCTCTTGGTTTCTCCCTTGGTATTTCTTAGCCAAAATAAAAGCTAACTCATGTTCCTCAATTGAGTGATGGGTTTGTGAAAGTAAAGAAGCTTGGTTGTGTTAAAATGGAGAGAAATGAGCTCTCGAGAATCAAGGATCAAAACTTTGTTTTCTTTTTGCTAAATGTGAATTCTGTATACTTTTGTCACTTTGTTATTCATATTACCCTTGATTGACAATTCCTTTTTCACCTATCATTTATTCATGTTTCACTTTTGCAAACTTAAAACAATCCTCCTTTCAAGTCAAATGTCATGCCATCATTATACCTTTATTTTCACATCATTTCACTTTTCCTTTTTATCACATTAAATGTCACGCCATCATTACACTTTTTCTTTTCACATCACATCATTTTCCTTTTCCTTTGAAACCATGAGCTAACTTTACCAAAACTATGATTTTCCTTTAATCCATCCATGCATGCATTTTCATTTTGTTTAACTTTCATTTCATTTGCATTTCTCTCATTTTCCTTTAAGTCCTTTGTCTTTTTTTTTATTTTCAATTTAACCCCCCAAACTTTTCTTTTTTTTAATTAGATCCTTCAATCATTCTTTTGACTTCAATTATTTTTTATTTTTTCTTCTTTTATCCATGTACTTGCAAAATATCTATTTTGCATATCACTAATACATTACAACAATATCTAAATATATACATATACATTAGTGCCATTATAATACTCAACTATACTGTTTTAATGTGCATGTATTACAATACATCTCATATGCACATTTTTCACTCCCCACTTATGCCAATCATACTCATCACATTCCTAACCAAATTTAGCAACAATCATTCGAACTAATATTATTTAATCTCATTCAAAAATTCTTATTTCACCTTCCAATGTTCCAAGGCATCTCAATCAATTTCAATTGACCTTCCCACCACCTTGGAGGTCTTTCTCAAGCATATACTAAAGTTCAAGGTGTTACTAGTAATTAATAAAAAGCTTAAAGTACACCTACACCCGAGCATTTGGCTTATTGGTTGGTGCATAATCCCCCTACCTAGAGAGCAGGGTTCAAATCCCCCTTCTCCTAATTATTAAAAAGAAAAAAAACTTAAGTAAACCTTTTAGGACTATTTAACAAATTGATGCAACAAAAATGAAAAAAAATTGGGTCCATGAAATGGGAAGCTCAAGTTGGAAATACACTAAGTATTCTTTTGCATGGTCACTGCATCCCCTTAAGAATGGCAATCCAATTCACATGTCCTGTATCAAGATACTTTTGCATTGCAGATTGCAATGGTACACAATCCAGTTATTTTGCAAATACAACCACTGTCCATTCATCAAACATCTCAATAAATCTCATGAAAGCAAGAAACTCATTTAGTCAAAGGCAACCATTGTCCACTCAAATATATATTTGATACCTATGTATGTGACAAAGGCAACGTTAATTAAAGTCCCCACAGCTTGAGCTTCTAAGGGTTGCTTTAGCACACAGTCAGAGTTAGAACTTGAACATTGGGATAAGGTGACAATTTAATAGGTCATAATTAAAGTAAGATGATACATGAATAGAACATTATTTCCAAGGGGTCTTGAATCCAACAATGACAAAAAAAACCTTAGGCGCAATCACTGCAAGAAGCCATGGCATACGAAGGAAACCTACTAGAAGATTCACGAGAAGCCTCCAAACTGGAAAAAGAAAAGAAAGGGCAAAAACCGAGCATTTCAAGCCTACCATGAAGAGAACCAGGGACAGCAAGTCACCCTAGAAGCATCTCCATTGACAAAGGAACAACTAGAGCACTTGCATAAGCTTTTCCAATCTCCACAATTCTTAAATTCCTCTTATTCTTTGGCCCAAAAAGGTAAATTTGTTACTGCCCTTCTTAATGTCAATTCTTCTAGTCAAACCACCTTTTGGATCGTAGATTCTGGAGCAACTGATCATATGACAAGTCGCTCCAACCTTTTTTCCACTTACACTCATTGTGCATGGAACAAAATATCAAGATTGCTAAGGGGTCTCTCTCGACAATAGCTGGGACAAGATTTATTGTTATATCTCCATCCATAACTCTACATAAAGTTCTTCATGTACCTAAGCTGTCTTGTAACCTTTTATCCATCAGTAAGTTAACTAAAGATCTCACATGTCAAGCTGATTTCTATTTTTCTCGATGTGAGTTTCAAGAAATGGTCTCAGGAAAAACAATTGGTAGTGCTAAAGAAAGCAGACGTCTCTATTTGTTTGAATTTGAAACTGATTCGGGAAAACAAGTTCAAAGTACATGTTTTCAATCTATTTCTAATTCCTAGTGATGTTATGCTATGGCATTACAGATTAGGACATCCAAGTTTTTTTTATTTAAAACACTTGTTTCCTAGTTTATTTTTTTAAAAAAAAGTCTATTTATATTTCAATGTGAGATTTGTGAATTAGCCAAGCATCATCATTCACATTTCTGTCCAAAACCATATCAAGCATCAAAACCACTTATGCTAATCCACAATCATGTTTGGGGACCATCTAGGGTTTCAACACTTTCTGGCAAAAAATGGCTTGTTAGATTCATTCATGATCACACGACAGTAAGTTGGGTGTATTTGCTAAAAGAAAGATTCTAAAGTAAAAAAGGTTTTCCAAACCTTTTATGCCATGGTGGAAACACAGTTTCAAGAAAAAATAAAACTTCTTAAAAGTGACAATGGCAAAGAATATGTTAACAAAGTCTTAGGTGATTTTTTCTTAAAAAAAGGCATAATACACCTAAGTTCTTACAATGACACTCCTCAACAAAATGGCATAGCTAAAAGAAAGAACAAACAGTTTTTGGAGGTTACTAGAGCACTGTTGTTTACAAATAAGGTTCCTAAGTATCTTTAGGGCGAAGCTATTTTAACTGCTACATACCTTATAAATCGCATGCCTACAAAGATCTTCAACTTTCAAACACCTCTAAGTGTTCTTAAAAAGAGCTTTCCCATATCTAAGTGGTCTTCTGACTTGTCTTTAAAAGTGTTTGGATGTACTACCTTTGTTCATGTTAATGATCAAAACCATAAGAAATTAGATCCACGAACAAGGAAATGTGTTTTTGTAGGCTCTGCTCCAAATCAGAAAAGATACAAATGTTAAGATCCTAGTTCGAAACAGATGTTTGTCACAATGGATGTCACCTTTTTTGAGTCTAAACCCTTTTTTTAACTCATCTTCAAAGGGAGACACATACTAAAGATTCGGAATGTTTTGATGTTTTTCAACCCAAAAATACAATTCAATCCAAAAACACATCTAATGAGCCAAATTTTTTCTATAAACACAGAACTTAATGTTTTAACTAATGAAAACTCAAGTCCAAATTCTATGAGGTCATCTCATAATTTTCATAGGAACAGCAATGGAGAACAATGTACGAAAAAACTTCTTGTTTACTCGCGGAGAAAACAAACTAAAAGCAATGAGATCAATCCCTTGAGCGATACAAGGCACGCTTGGTGGCTAAAGGTTTCACTCAAACATATGGTATTGACTACCTCAAAACCTTTGCATCAGTGGCAAAGTTAAACACAGTGAGTACTTCTGTCAATTGCAGCCAATCTTGACTGGCCTCAACAATAGCTAGATGTGAAGAATGCATATCTTAATGGTGACTTCGAGGAGGAAGTTTACATGGATCCACCACCGGGCTTTGAAAGGAAGTTTGGATCAAAAGTATGCGAACTAAAAAAGGTCTTTATATAGGTTAAAACAATCACCAAGAGCTTGGTTCAAGAGGTTCACCCAATTAGTAAAAGGCAAAGGATACATCCAGGGACAGACAGGTCCCACATGTTCACAAAGTATTCAACTAATGGGGAGATAGCTATTCTCATAGTGTATGTGGACGATATCATTCTAACCAGGGATGACACAACTGAGATGGAGCAATTAATACAGTGTCTAGCATCTGTGTTCGAGATTAAAGATTTGGGATCACTAAAGTATTTTCTTGGAATGGAGGTAGCTCGATCAAAGAAAGGAATTGCAGTTTCACAAAGGAAATACGTCCTTGATCTACTCAAAGAAACAGGGATGAATGGTTGTTGTCTTGCTGAGGCTCCAATTGATCCAAATCAGAAGCTCGGAGATAGCAAAGGTGATACAGTGGATACACTACGATAGCAGAAACAAGTCGGGAGGCTTATTTACTTGTCACATACACAGCCTGATATTGCATTTGCAGTAAGCCTTGTAAGTCAATTCATGCATTCCCCTCATGAAGAGCATCTTGAAGCTGTGTATTGAATCTTAAGATATTTGAAGACTTCTCCAGGAAAGGGTCTATTTTTCAAAAAAAAAAAAAAATTAACCAAGCATTGAGGCCTATACTGACGTAGATTGGGCAAGATCTAACAGAGATAGAAAATCAACATCAGGTTGTTGCATGTTTGTGTGGGAGAACTTATTGACATGGAGAAGCAAGAAACAAGAAACAAAGTGTGGTTGCTCAAAGTAGTGCTAAGGCAGAATACAGATCAATGGCTTATGGAGTTTGCAAGATGACGTGGCTGAAATGGGTTTTGGAAGAGATAAGAAGACCTGCAACCATGCCTACGAAGTTGTACTGCAACAACAAGGCAGCCATTAGCATTGCACATAATCCGGTTCAACATGACAGAACAAAACATGTTGAGATTAACAGACACTTCATAAAGGAGAAAATTGAAGCAGGTGCTATTTGTATGCCATTGTTCCAACTTCGCAACAAATAGCTGATATTCTTACAAAGGGTTTGTTCAGACCTAATTATGAGTTTCTTATCAGCAAGTTGGGCATGACAGACATCTATGCACCAACTTGAGGGGGGGTGTCAGATAGTTAGGAGAATTAGGCTGGATGGTTAGCAAATTCAAGCCAAGGAATTGGTTCCTGATTTTTAGGAACTAGTTTCTAATTTCATTGTTTAATATTTTCAGTCTTTCAAAATAAGGAGATTCCTTAAATTAAGGGATCTTTTCTAGTGCCTAGAATAAGGGGATTCAATAACAGATTCTGTTGTTATGTTTTCCCCTACATATTGTAGTTATTCAGCACCATGAGATAAGTCGAATCAAGTTTTTTTTTCTTATAAACTTACAAGTAATAACCACTGAAATTCCTATATTTGTGTAAGCTGATGCTTACTCGTATCTTATATATTTTTTCTATCAGTTCACAATAACCAAAGCAATGTGTCAATAAAATAACAATTTCAAGGATGTTTGAACATCCCAGGAAAAATTCAATTAGAAAAGCTAATTTTAACCATCAAAATGAAACATTATATTATTGGTCTCATTGCACTGTCAAAAGCATCTTTGAAAACTAAGCACAGAATAGCCAATAAAATATACAACGCAGGCACAAGTTGCTTGTAGATAGAACCAAAAAAAAATGGAAAAGCAGTCCAACTGACCTGAATAAGACTTAATGAACTATTGGTAACCCAGTAGACTAGACTTCCCTGCAAAATCAGGAAGAAAAATAATAAACAAGGCTTAGATGCAGCCCCAGGAGCCAGGGTGGGAAGTATGAATTACAACATCACCAACTGCAGTAACAGTTAAGATGATTGTAGAAAAGAAAGCAACAACAAAACTTCAGAGAAACGAAAGCAAAAACAAGATTTAATACAAACATAAGCAATTGCTCTTTGCCTTTCACTATTTTTTCATGAGTAATGAATCAATGTATATCAATAATAGTAGCATCCAGAGGTTGCCTTTTTACTAGCTGTGTCTAGTGATAAATTACTCCTCACAAGTAATGAACACCACTATGGTTTCGCAACATCCTACTGTGGAGCAACCTAAGAAATTTATCTTCACTTTGTACTGATAAACCTGGCAATAACTTTCGCTTGACAGACATTGGCCATAGGTAAAGCTATATTCCTTGAAACTTGAAAAAGGCATCAATCTCACTCAATTTCTTGCAAGGCATATATGGAGCAGATTGTCCAGAATACTTCTTACAAGATTATCTGAAGCCACATAAAATTCATAGTCAAATTGAAGCATAAGAAAACCACTTGGCAGGGTATGGAATTTGATCATATATCATTTTAATTTCAGTTAACATTTTAGTGATTCGGTAAGCAACATTGGTAGACCTGCTTTCAACGCCAAAGTGGGGGTTTTCCTCACACGACGGATGGAGAGAAAGAGAGGTTAAAAGCATTGTTCACAGCATTTTTGCTTGGTCTCCGGAGTGTCAGAAATTGATACATGCTGCACAAAGCAACATACAAATTTTTCCTGAGTTTTTTATGGAATATGGAGGGAAGCTATTTGAAGATTTAAATTAGCTAATACTTTATGGGTTTTAATTGTAATTTTTATATTTATTTAGAACATTTTAGAATATTGAGGGTATTTTATATAAATTATTAGGGCTTTAGAATTATATTCAGTATTTTCCATTTCTACAAGGGTTTAGGGTTTAGCTATAAAAACCAAAGTTATTTCAGTTTCTACAAGGCTTGGATTGATGAAATATTGAGATACTGACTTTGAGGCTTCTAGTGTTTTTGGCAATTTTGGAGATTTTTTATTGAGCTTTCACATTTTTTCTTGAGTGTAATTGTTCGAGACTTGTTCTACATCAGTTATCCCTTAAATTTGGAGGCACCACCCAGACTTACATCCACGTTATGGCATCTTGTATATGTTTCCAACATGGAAACTTTAAGAAACATGACACATTGGAGTAACATAAACTCAAAGAAGGAAAATGCTAGACTTGGCCGTCCAAAACAACAAATCAAAAGGCAGTCCAGAAGCCTTCATGATTAACTAGATCCATATAAAGAGCGGTGTTAATTATTTTGCTGCAAACAACTATATGGCAATAATTGAGTAAGTTAATGAGGAAATAGTTCAACAATGACCAAATATACACTTATCATAACAGATAATCAGTTGTATTTATTAGATAGAGAACATATTATGGTTTTCTCTAATCTAAAGTAATTCTGACCAATCGATATAAGTTCTATGTATAGTTAGCTGATCGTAAAATTGACATGATTCCATCCACATCTAGAACTAGTAGAACATTGACTGCACAAGGAAATTCTATTCATTTATTAGGATATAGTAAAAAGGCTTAACCCCCAAAAAAGCCCCTATACTATACCCCTCACCTTTTATTGCATTCAAATGTGTCATTAAACTTTCATTTTGAGTCAAACAAGCCCTTAATCCTAACGGAAAAGTACCTGCCGTTAGACCCAATGCCAGCTGGTGTTTTCTGTCCACATGGCATATGACGTGGCTTGATGAGGTGACCACATGGTAGCTGATGTGGCATTTTCTCTTTCCTCTTTTTTTTCTCTCACCCCTCCTCAAAATGACAAGGTTTTGAGGAGGCTATATAAGCCTTCCCATTTTCTTTTTCCTCTTCCTCTCTCTCTTTCTCTCTCGAGGATCTTCCTAGAATCTGACCACCATCATTGCCTGTTGTCGGCATCGTCTGCCACCAGCCAAACCTTTAAAATATCCTATTTTTTGGTTCCTCATGCCTCCCTCTACCTTTTAATCAGTTTAGTTTTTCTTTTTCCTCCTTTTCTCTTCTTGTTCTCTGAAAAAACAAAACTTAGATCTAGGATTTTTAGATCATTGATTTTTATTTTATTTTTTGAGATTTGGAGAAAGAATAGGAGATTTTCAAAAAACTATTTGGATTAAAGGAAAGATGAGAAGGAGAGGGATCAAAAAAGGTTTTTTTTTTTTTTTTTGTAATTCCAGCATTGGTTGGCGACAGCAATTTTTGCTCTAATTTTGCAATGTGACCACGTTAGCTAGCCAAGTCATATGTCATGTGAACAAAAAAGGACAGTTGGCATTGGATTTAACAGCAGTTACATTTTTTGCAAGGCTGAAGGGCTTGTTTGACTTAAATTATAAGTTCAAGGGCTCATTTAAATGCAATAAAAGTGAGGGACTTAGTTGAAAAAACAGATGGAGTACACGAGCTTTTTTAGGTTTGCTCCAATTAAAAATCACCAAAAATATGCCAATGTGTATAGCTGGTTGAGGGTTAAAAGTTGACTCAGAAAAAAGTATGGCATTCCAAATACCACCCAGGAGGAGGATATTTTAGACCCAACATCAAGGTGTTTTTGTACCTTACCCTTCAATTAACCATATAAACAAAATGGGTATTATGTAATGAACTAATACATAAAAAGGCTTCTTTCATCCTATAGTTTGATTGAGATAGACACATAATGTCCCAAAGGAAGTAGACTTTTAAAGAAAGTAAAGCAATTCTACTATTTACAAATATTTTACCTTACCAGCAGCAGGATAACTTTCATCAACTAATTCAGAGTTTGAAGGAAGGTCGACTCAATGAAATCAATTTGACATACAACATTGAAAAAATAACAAAGAAAAAGTGAAGATAGAAGGGGAAATGCTAGATAGTTACCTGGGGAATCAAGAAACCGATACCAAAAAAGGGCAATGTCAGAAAATCCAAATAGAACTTGTAAACCTGCAAAAATAAAGATGATTCCAGATTCTTGTTGAGCTAAAAGTCTAAACAATGAGAACAAAATGTTCTGCACATTGAATAAATTAACATAAAATATGTTGTAGCCCTCCAAAACGTGAAAGAGCAGCCGATATTAGAATTGTGCACAATTTCTGTCTACTCACTTTCGCCAAGAGCGGATCAGCTTTCTTAACTGAAGATGTCCCAAAAGAAATCTGATAAGATAATAAATCATGTTAATGAACATTCTAGTGACATGTTCTCAAAGTAATTCATTCACTTATACTGCAACATAGATACTATACAGTCACAAGAAATAATAGATTGTGTTTCCAAAAACAATAAAAGAAAGGGAAATTGGAGACATTGGAAAAGAAAGCTGAGAGCCTGAAGCAGGTTGCAGCCAAAATTAGTTTTGGCTAAAAGGCCAGTCACCATCCTTGACAGGAATCATGGACACTTAGCAACAATAACCCATACTAGGGGAGCCACGAGTAACCAAAAGGATGACCTTAAAAATTGTTGCTTTTTACAATATTCTGCTAACCCTTCATCAACTACCTTAATTTAATTGCATCCCAGTACATACGGACCACATGAAATTGTTCAGTACAACTACTAATCACTTAAACAAATTAAATTTAACATCTCATGATTGGGTAAATGGTGGATTTCGCTTCCTGTATTAGCAATAGTTGTGAACAAGATGAACAGAGATGGTGAAGATTACAATACCTGAACATTGATGTAGTGCAAACTAGCAATCAGAAACGGAAAGATAGGGCCTAAAACACCATGAGGAAGTTCAGTTAAATTTTGGAACCATAATGCACCACCCTGGAATTAATCATGACAGAGTTTCAAATTTTGAGCAACTCAATGCAGGTATTAAAACGTAAAAGATCATAAAATGTGGTAAGCAGTTTAAAAGTGCACACCATGGCCAAACATTCCAACTCCCAAGTACCAATATTACATGAACTAGAAAAAGTCAAATCTTGGATTCAACCAAATCACAAATGCAGCACCACGTAAGTCAATTTATAGAAAGATATTTCCAGAACCGGGAAAGTAAGAATAGGTTAAGTTTCCATCCAAAACAAATCTAGATAGAGAGAATGTCAATACAAAAGACAAGGAAAATCTGCAATTAAAACACAAATATGTGGCTGAAGCACCATTTTGATAAACGCAAACAAATTGTAATCATTTTAAGAGAAATAATATCGAACAGCAGGAGCTGTGTGCAGTTCTGGTTGCAATAATATAAAAGTCCAAAAAGCAGCAATTAAGCCTACAAGCTTCTAAAATACATGTAATTCAATAATTAAAAATTTTAAACAAATAGTAGGCTTCGTTAAAGAACCATGCCCTACTTAGAACAGTATCAGTTGAAGTAAACATAAAAATCATTTAAAACCATAAATTATTCATATTTCTGTGAGCATAATTATATATGACTAGTATAAAAAAACTGGCTAAATCTTCAACAGAGTCAAATGACTAACAGTAGCTTTTAAAGGACAATATACAAGCAGCTATTTTTATGACTAAAGTTCATTTTACCTCCAAAAGTATCGCTATTTATCACAAGCATATCGATGAAAAAGAAGAAATAGAAAGCTAGAAATATTTTTATTCATATACAACTCTTCTTTTTCATTTCTTAAATATAATAATATCAAAAGGGGAAAACTAGCTGGGCAATTGTTTAGATTATAAGGTTTGACTTGTCTATTAACAACTCATTAACACATCAAATAATAAATCAGCTACTACAGTTAAGTATGAGTTTGGAAGTGCCATTGAGTATTTATCCAGCATGCATAATTTGTCTACTGTGAAGCAATGCATGTGAAAGAAATTGTGGTTGTCATTTCCAAGGACGGGGCAATAAAACGCATGATTGACAACTATTATTACTAAAAGTAGACAAATATTTCTAGAAATTCAATTCTTACTCGAAAAATGGCAGAGTAACAGTTAATGATACAAAAACTTCCAAAAAAGAAACTAGCAAGTTCCAAAGAAAGTTTCGCTCCTATCATGTGTGAGGTTATTAACCAATTATATTCATAATGATACAATTAGTTTCAGTATAAATAAGCACCCAAGCAATGCCTTACACTATCAAATCCAGGATGATTATCCAATGACATTCTGCGAATGCTGGTCACCCATAAAAGAAGGCACGGGACCTGACAAATTAAAAGATACAGCAAGTGAGATAATTAAAATTTATTTTTATCAAAGCCATGCAAAACCTTTTTTTAGAGTTTCTGGAAAGAGAGATTATTTTCATTAGAGTTCTGTTAGTCCAGACAGTGAAAAACTCATCAAAGAATTGTCTTATTTAATCAACTTATCCAATTACAATATCTCATGTCAGCAAAAAATCTATTCTCAATATACATATATTTGTCACTGGCAATAGGAACTTGATTTTTGCACTACTCAATTTTGTTCACTCTTAGAAAATTAAATGACTTTCTATTCATTTTAAAACCTAAAATATAGCTCAATATAATCAGAAAGTACCCACTATAATACATTAATCCCTGATATCCTTACTTGACAAGCAACATAACAACATCCCTATTTGCAGGGTATTGTGCTTGGAACATGCATTTCAATTAATATTAATAGATGCAAGACCATACTATTCAAGCACAGAATTGTTAGGTCAAACTAGCTTTGATAACATTGAAGAGTTCAATTTTCAATCGCACATTTATCAATAATTACAACTGTTGATGCCAAAATTTCCTATAATCTATGAAGTTACTCTTCACTTCCACCTTTATTATGCACATATTTTGCTTGCAATTCCAAATGTGTAGAGTAACTATACTTACAAACCAAGATGTATATATCATACATGTCAAGCATTGCATAGGACAAACATATTTAATCTAACAAAATAAAATGATTCTTAGACTGCAAGGGAGGATTACCTGAGTGAAGAAGGGTGCAAGAAACCATAAAAATGAGGGGCATCCAATTGCCTTTCTTTCCTTCCGGAAATGTAAAATTTGATCCATGTAACTTCTTCCTGACATAGTTGATGGCAATGGAGAAGGCACTATGAGAAATAGATCAGTGTCAAACAAAAAGTTAACTGTTAGTTAAACAACAAAACAACAGGTAAAAAAAAATAGGATTTCTTTGCATAAATTCCATAGAACAGAAAACATGTGTTTCCCTACAATTGTGTCAGCAGAATTCAAATATCAGACATTTAAGAGAACTTAACTAAGAACACATACTGAGGTCAGCATTTGCCTGTTGTCTGAAATAACAATGCACAATAATGTGTTACAAAGGAAGGAATTTGCACAGATGAAAGCTAAACAAAATTGTCTCAAGTACCATCAAATGTAGAAAAGATACTTATAACTTTTCAACTGGTTACACAAATATATTCATTTATTTTCAGCTTAACTGGTTGCAGGGTTGTGTTCACTTTATTATCAGTAAAAGGGAAAAATAAAGAGCCATGAGAAAAAAGAGTATGTAAGACATAAAGGCAAAAGATTTTAAGGCAAAGGTGAAATTACACTCTAAAATCTGAAATAATGAAACAGAACCAGAAACCATCATGAAAAATATTTCTAAATGATCTCCCAAATGTTAGGATTCATTGAATGTTGCCAATGGTTCACGTGTCCATCAAAACTTGCTTCAAAATATGATCCACAAACAAAACTATACCTATATAAACACCCTATTTTCTTTTGTTATTCTACATAAAATTTGTTTAGATGAGCCAAACAAGACCAAAATGCATTTATCAATTAAAATGATAGCATCAAGTGACCCACTTTAGTTGCCAAAGGAGAAAAAATGAAAATAAGTTGAAATAGTAGAAGTAACTGCCTCAATGCTTGGGGTAATCAGGCCAAATTGTGCCAACATAGTAACATGATTATGAAAACTTGAAGCTCAATCTTTAGTTTTTGTATTTAAACTCAGTTTAAAAAAATAATTGAGCTCTACTTGAATAAGATCGATTATTGTTAGCTCAAATTAAGAGCTAAAACTTGACTTAGGAGTTTAAAACTCAAATAAAACTTGAAATATGAAAATAAATATTGCATTTTATTCATATTATACATATATAAAAGATATTAGAAAAGAAAGTATAAACTCCATTTGGCTCACAAGCCACTCCAGTCCCATATAGAAATACTCGAAGTCAGCTTGACTAGTTACTTCAGCAATTTAGGTTCAAGTATTCATCATGCTAAGACCGATTAGTTCACGAGTAGTATGCTTAATTTACATTCCCACCAATGCTACAAATCCAAATATTAATGATAAATAAAATTAAAATACTAAAAAAAGAAAGAAAGAAAGAAACTTACATTTTGGACCTAACTCTCCAATCCTTTTCAACTTCTGAAGATGAATAACAACTGCTGGCAACAATGCAAATCGCATACCCACAGTGGCAGTTGCAATAGTAATCCACCTACAAAATAATTCATAATTTCTCTTTTTTTTTTTTCTTTAAAATGCAAAACTTCAAAATTTTATTTTTCCCTTCATTTTGAGAGAAGAAATTGACTTACCAAGGGAAGCCACTGAGATTATGGTAACCATCAAGCAACGAAACGATTGCACGAACCGGAAGGATTGATTCTTCAACGTTATAGGCCGAAGAAAAGAAGGATCGAGAGATGGAAGGGGGGAGTGGAGAGACGCTTGGCGAAATGTTGGGGTGAGATAAAGGTGCCGAGAGGTAAGGGAGGTGAGAGACACGCGAGAGAGAGCGAGTGGACAGACGATTGGAACGACGGAGGTGGGAAAGTAGGATCATGGAAGTCGCCATTGCCCATTAGCGAGGGAAAGGAAGGCCCCGATTGCCAAGGGTTTAAGAAGACTGCTGTAAACCTCGAAAGGATAATTTTGTTTTTTTGTTCTTTTTTACAAGAGGTAGTGTTAGACTACAAATGGTGATTTTTTTTTAGTTTAAATTTTAATTATTTTAAATATAAATTATTTACTTTCCAGGTATATTTTGATTGTTTTGGATTAAATTAAATTTTAATATTTTAGGGAAAAATATCTTAAAATTGAGGTATTTTGTTGAATATAATATAGATATATATAACCACCCAATTTAGAAAAATACGTTACAACATTAGATCAATGTTTTCTTAGGTAAAAATAAATCAAAATTTTGTCACTTGATCAGAAATTTTCAAAATTTGCCTCACAATATTTTAATTCAGTAATAGGTGTTAGGTACATGATTCACTTAATCATTGAATCTCTCCCATAATAGAAATTTTTAAAATTTCTTAAGTGAATTTGAGATTTGAATTTCGATTAGAATATAAGAGTAACAATTTTGGGGCCCAAATAAAAATAAATAAATATATATAATTTTGTTGAATTTGACATTAATTTGCAAGATCAAGATGTAAGAATTTGCATATATTGCAAGCTTTTTTTTTTTTCCAAAAGAAATATATTATTAGTTTCTTGGGTAAAACTTAAAAGCTACATCAAAATACAGATTTTATTTTTTATTTTGTTTATGCTTTTATTTTGCTCTTACCAGCTTCAAGGTCTTATTAGAGCCCTTTGTTTTTGGCAGAACATTGCTTTACTTTTGATGGACTCTGCAGTTTTCATCAAGAATGCTCTGCTTTTAGCTGTGTAACAACTCACCACAAACAAAACATCTTAATTAATTGAAAGCAATAGTACATGGTTATATCTTAAACTTCGCTACATAACTAATCACAAACTTAAAACACACAAAATAAACATATTAATTGGCACCTAATCATCATAACCAGCAATCCTGTCCATGATCTTGGCCACCACATCCTTGGACTCCTTCAACAGCTTGATGCTGCTTTTCAGCTTCTCTCTCTTTCCAGCAATTGCAGGGGATTCCACCAGCATCCTTTCAATTCCACGTCCATCTGGCCCCATCAACTCATTCACAATCTCCTCCATGTTATTGTTCACAAGATTATGAACACTATACTGCAAATGCAATGCCATGGAATCGACCAACCTTCGCAGAACTATCTTCCAGTACGCAGTCATTCTCATCTTCAGGTCGAAAGCTTGATGCAGAACATTACGATGCTGCCTGAGATGTTCAACTTCAATATCCCCAAAACCTTCCAGACTCACTCTGGAATGCCCGTACATTACTGCATCATTTACTTTCCTGACGAAACTTTCTTGTTGAGTCATGAGCTTAGTCCACTCCACCATGTAATCAGGATTGCAGGTATAATCTGTCAGCTTCTCCATCTGCACAATCTCCTTCACCCTATTCATCGACTGCTCCCTCATCCTTTCGATGAGATTATGAGCTGCTCGCTTTGTAGATACCTTAAGCTGGTAATATATTTCCGAGTGGCGCATCAAAACAGAAGTCACCATCCCATCGATGCAGTCCCAAACCTTTTCAGCAAATTCAATTGGCATACTGGAAATCCTATCAACTTTTCTCTGCAAGATGCGAAGGAATGCGCTGCGAGGAAGGAAATTTGGCAGTCCAATTCCTTTAGCATCTTCCAAAACCTTGATCTCCTCTATTAAAAAGTCTTTTGTGGGATCATTATCCTCTGACTCGTGAAGCTCATCAGAGAATTGATTGAGCATTTCAACCAAACGAGCAGTGCCATGCTTGCTACCATCATCAGGGTATTCATCAAATTCCCCTCTCAGAAGAAGTTTCCTGAGGGATTCTTTAGCTGCTCCAATGATCCGCATAAAAGCTGCCATGGCATCTGCAACAGAAGTCAAAGCCTTGGGCATTCTTTCCAGCGCTGAAACATTTGCATTCAGCTTTTCACTAATGTTCTTCACGATCACCGGTAAGCACCGCGCAATAATATTTGCCTGAATTTGAACTAGTTTTTGGGCCAAAACTGGAACACCCACTATTGATTTATCAATCCTTGACAGATGTGGATGAGTTTGGAACAATCTAGCCTCTTCCCTCCTTGCTTCTTCGTAGGACTCATCACCAATACGATTTCTGACACAAACATAACCAAGTCCTATATTCACATCATCAGCAGTAACCTTCTCACATAGCTCTTCAGGGGCCCTATCAGCCTTGGTAACCACGGCAAGAGTTCTTTCACCCGTCTTGTCGACTTTCTGTGACATCCTAATGGATTCACAGGTAGAAAAATCAACAGTGGCAGACAAAACATTGAGGATGATGCTTTCCTCAGGTGTTATATACTCCATGATAATATCTCTTATCTGCTCATAGATGTTCTCAGGCTGACCTTGAACAGGCACTCTAGTAATTCCAGGAAGATCAACCATAGTAAGATCAGGAACACCATCCTTTTTCACCACCAAAGTAAGCGGTTTGTTAGATATCCCCTTACCATGACCTGCAATCTCATCAGTTGCAAGATTTATGGCAGTTGTGATATGGGATTCCTCTACAGGGACTGTCTTGCCATTGTACTCCAAGTGAAGCTCTGGCGTTGGACTTTGATGACTTTGCAGCCTCATTATGAGGGGTACTCTAGTACAAATACCCTGGCTTCGAGGAAGACTAATACCAGCAAGTGATTCAAGAACACTGGACTTCCCAGATGATTGGTCTCCAACTACAACAATTGTGGGGAGTTGTATGCCTTCTTTCATGACCATAAGAAGCCTGAGCCTGTCAATGGCATCAAGCAGAGGTCGGATTTGGTCATTGTATTGAGCAACAATTGGAGCTTGGTCTGCCACTTCTTCTTCTCGAGCCATAAGAGGATCTTGCGCCGTGATAGGCAGTATGGTTAGCGGTTGAGGATCGTCACAGACGACCAAACCGTTGACTACTAATGCTCCATTGCTCCTTGAAGCAACATCCTCATCATATACAGCACTCATTTTTAAAGAGAAATGCCAGAAAAATACAGTTTGCGAAGATGTGTTTGAGGCTTGAGAAACAGAGCTTAAGAGGGTGGCGAGTAGGACTCAGCAAATCTTGATGTTTTAGAAGAAAACTTTCATAGCAACGAGCTTTCACTGAGTGGATGACGAGTTCAGGTGAAGATTGAAGTCTTCCTAGGTTGGAATTTATAAAGAGGCTTTTCTGGTCCCTTCGGTGAAGGCTCTTCCATTATAACTCTCCAATCCAGAGGACCTTTGTTAAAGGTGTTTTGATTCTTATGGCCACTTTGCTGATAATTGAGGGATGAAAATACTAGGAAAGAGTCTTTTGATCTCGGGCCCTTTTTGATTGGAGAATTACACTTGGGTATAGTGACATGAAAACAAATTAACTGCTGGTGGTTTATTATAAAAACTTTTTTAATGGTGTAATGATTACAATTAAGTGTATCCGGATAATTTGCATGTGTAATAGAAAATGCCCTTCAAGAAAAATAAGTACGTCGTTAAAATGTAATGTTCATATTGATATCATAAAAAGAGTAGAATGTGCATGTCATTCGATAATCATAGGTAAGATATTTGAAAAATTAGTTTTTTTTGTCCTCTGAAAATAGTTCATCACTTAAAAAATTATCTAATTTTTTACTTTTTTATACACTTTTTAATTGATAAATAGTTTCATGATTGTTTATGTAAAGTCAGTACCAAATATAGATATATTTGAATAAATATTATTTTATCTATATCACACGAGTGCATCACACCATTATATTCTAATTGTTATAAAAAGATATGCATATTATAAAATATGCATATCATTTAACAATTATATAAATAAAAGTGTTAACAATTATATAAATAAAAATATGTGAAAATATTTTTTGAATGGTTTAACTATTATAATATACTTATATAATATTTTTAATCAAATGTACTTATACGTGATTTAATTATTATGTACAAGATATTTGAAACAGTTCATATGTTTAGGATAATTATGTTTCGTAAGAACGATTTCAACCTTAATCAAACTTTTTTGAGATAAAACTTAACTCAATGGAAGCCACAAGCAAAAGTAAAGAGAACAAAATTAATAATGAGAGATGTTCAAATTATTATAATATCATGTACATTCTATTATAAGATGATATATCATGTTACTCAATTATTTTGTACAATTTATTTTAATTTAAAATTAATTTTTTTTTTGTTAAAACCAAGAGCAAGTAAGGGTATTTTCATCTCTACAATAAATATTTCATTATACTTACTATTAAAAAGAAAAGACTCATTACACTTGAGATATATTAATTAAATATTTTACACTAAATTGAATTTAGTTTTGAGAAACCACTGATCATTAATTCGTTTTATTCTACTACACCCAAGTGTAAGTTTCTCTTTTTGAGACTTAAAAAGAAGACTTAGGACCTGACCTGTAATAGTACTAGACATATTCTTGGGCATCCTTTCCCATTTTCGTCCTTTTTTTGATTCTGTTAAGTGAGGATAAAAGTTGGAGAATAAGTAATGAAATAATATTACAAAATTTAAGAGTTAAATTTCATTATTTTTGTTTTGAATTATTTGAAATGATTTTATAGATTATATATATATATATTTAAAGAAAATGGGAATTACCTCACTTAAGGAGAAAAGAAAAATACTTTCAAAAAAGAAAAGAAAACCCATCATCTATTGTTTTGATTGTTGGGAGAATATTTGACATTAAATTCATGAATATTTATACGAAGATAATCCATTTTTTGAATAATGTTTTAAAAAAGTTTTGAATTATTAAAAAAGTTTAAATAATTTTTTATTATATTTAATCAAATACTTATATTTTTATTTTAAGTTAAATAGGTTCTTTTAACTAATGATTAATTAATTGTCATTAACCCAAATACTATTTATTATTTTTTATATCATGTGGCGCTAATATGAATGATGAAAATACTTCGTTATTATATTATCATATTATATCAACATATCATGTTATTATTCATTTTGATATATTAGTATATCACATTAACATTACGTGTGCAACATAAAATGACAAATGACGTTTTAACTAGTAACAATTAATAAGTCATTAGTTATAAGAACTTATTTGATCTAAAATAAAAATATAAAAATTTAATTAAACGTAATAAAACAATAACAATTTATTTGAATTTTTCAAAATAATCTTGAAAGATTTTTTAGATATTATGTTTATATTTTTTGTATAAAGAATAAAATTTGATTACCTTATTTTGTGAAATAAAAAATCAACATAAGAGAGTGTAATCTAAAAAGTGAAATTGACAAAAATGAACATGAATGAAGTTGGAATTTATTTTATGTGATTGGAAGGAGACATGAAGTAGAGTAGAAATTTCCTGATGGGTAAGCAACGGATGCAAAGGTGCTGACATCATGGTAGAAAAGGTGGTGGATATTTCTACACCTAAACCATGGGACCAAGTTTGGAATCAATTAGAGGGTGGAAACCCCACCAATAATCCTTTTAAACTACTTCCACGCCAAGGCTCCACGAGTCAATGCTTGCTCACTAAGGAGTAGTAGTCAATGACTACTCAGCTCAGTGCTATATCATGATGCATATGCTTCAAATAAGTGACCATTCCTCGTCGGTTCTTGATTTGATTAGTTGGCAAATATTCAATTTGATAGTACTGTTGTGGTTTCAAATTGTTGTTCAAATTTATTATTAGAATTTAAAAATTTATTAAACTATTTCCATTACTTTTTGACACAATTACATATATAATTAAAGATTCATAATTATATAACATCGTAAAAATCAGATTCTTGGTCGTCCATTTTGTACCTTTCATTTATAAGACTTTATTAAACATTTGTGTCCTTACTATAATTCAATTATATTCATACATTTCTAAAAAAAAAAAATCTTATGATACTAATTTGCCTTTGATTAAAAAAAACATATATGATGCAATAGCTCTTATATGTAATAGTGGTTAAAAAACTTGACAATCAATACATAATAGGAAAATTTTAGCATGAAATTATACTAAAACCCACATATGGTAAGATGAAAAACCTTTAATGCTTTAATTTTAAGACATTCTTCTTGTCATTGAAATGAGGCCTATTAAGGGATTGAATCACTGCCTTATTATCAATTTGTAGTTTAATTCTACAGAAGCCTTGTTCCCAAGCTAGTTTGAGGCCTTGAAAAACTCCCCATAACTCCGCATGGTATGCTGTACTTAGTGCTTGGATTGCATGCATATCCCACTATGCATGTACCATCTGAGTTTCTCAAAACTCCTCCAACTGAAGCAGCCCCCTTTGCACTTCTATATGCCCTGTCTGAGTTCAACGCTATCCAATCCACAGGTGGAGGAACCCAACCGACTAATATTTTTTCTTGTCAAACTGGTCTCCCATTTTGTAAGGAACAAGTAAACCATTTATTCTGCATTGCCATTGCCATACTTTTGATAATGCTCAACCGTTTTTCAAGGGATATTTCGCAACCTTCAAAGATAAGTAAGTTTCTCCACTTCCAAATATACCAGTAGGTTATGCCAAAGACGATGTTCCAGGGAACATCAAAGATGGAGAACTTGCTCTGGCTAAGGTTCACGAAAAGCCATTCTGCAAACGTTGCTTAAAAAAATTGGCGTATACTGTTTTGAGGCAACAGACGCATCCAAAGGACTTCTACAACAAGACAATCTCTAAGCAAATGAAGACTAAATTCCTCAACAACACAACATTGCGAACATGAAGCATCAGACAATAACCAATGTCTCACTCGTTCTGCATTTATCAAAATCCGATTTGTGTAAGCAATGAAAAAGGAAGATACATATTCTTTGGGGACCTCTCCATCCCTAAGCCAAACTCCACCTGTACTGTCAGAATCAAACAAGCTCTTTAATTGGTCATACGTTGAGGACATAGTGAAGTCTCCAAATGAGATTAAAGCCCAAAATGGCATGTCAAGGGAGGCTAATAAGCTGGGAGGAATAAGATAAAGAATTTTCTTCACCATTTCCACTGGTAACACAACTACTAATCACTACTTGTCTCATTCTCGATTCGGCGTCATATAATCCCTTACTCGGTCTCTTATATCTGCTAGAAATCCCTTGTCTGCAGCATTATTAAGTAGTGGTAAATCTCCTAACCATATATCAAACCAAAAACTAATGGATGCACCATCGCTAATTGACCATCGCACATTTTTAATGAATTTGCACCATAATCTACTCCTTGATCTCCACAGATTAGAATAACCAAAATATGAAGAATTAAGTGTAAGGGAAAAGAGAATTCAAACCTATAAATCTCAACCCTCTTAATAAGGTTTTGGTTGTCATTTTAATGCTACTTTTTTTTTTTTTTAAAAGACCGAAATATTATTTGGATATTAAAACTAAATTTTAATAATATTAATCTTAAATGTATTTTTATAAATAATAACAAAAAAAATCATTTCAATTTTCTAGCTTCCAAAGAGAGTATAGTGACAAGACTAAAACTTAAAAAGGAATTGGATGAAAGGATACCATCACGAGGAAGCTTGTTACTTACTCAACACGAGAAAATTTATCGGGTTTGATTATATAATTAGATTAAAAGTACATGATATCACTTTTTGCCTATATAATTGCTCATGTTTTTCCTAAATATGAAATTATGAATTAATATTTACATTTTATTTTTATCTTATAATGAAATTGGAGAAAACGAAAAAGGTAAGGATCATCGGCATAAGAAGCGTCTGAATAGTGCAATAATAAATTACTTGGTTTCAACAAGAATGTTAATTTTGAAGGGTTTACTAAGTAATTGATGGATTAAGATCAATCTGTCATTCATACTGCTTTTCTAGTGTTTCAAATTATTGCAGTCAATTTAAGCAGTAAATTGCATGATTTCAAAAAAGAAAAAAACGCATATAACATCATTTTGTTCGGACTTGTTTAGTATGAATTTGAGAATAATTTGGATTAAAGCATTACTAATTCAATTTCAATTTTTTAACTTTTTAAACTTATCTTAAACTGGAGCCTAAGACTTAATTTATTAATGGAGCTTGAAGTCTGATTACTAATTCGTTCGGAAGTTCAATTTTTATTTGGATTATTAGGTTAATTTGCTAATTGGTTCTGATGATTCTTTTAGGCTTAGGTTATATAATCCAAATTGCAATAATTTTTTTTAAAAAATTAGAAATAAAAAATTGAAAAATACAAAAAAAAAAAAAGGGAGGGATCGAGGAGAAATGGGTGGACCACCATGGCAGCTAGCCTTTTCCCTTTCACCAATTATTACTTCATTTTTGGCTCCAAGTAATTATGAGTGCAATTGTACCATTAATCCATAATTAATCTATTGCCAATGTTGCATTTTCATCTTCAACTTAATTAAAAATTTGTTTTTTTAATCTACAACTTTTTTATTTATTTTAAATTTATCAATATATATATATATATATATATTTAAACACAATATCACAATTTAGATGAAATTTATCACATGTATATTCATTTAAGTGTTACGTGATATATTCAGTTCATATTGATAACAGTTTGATAGAATGATAGATTTTAAATAAATTAAAAAGTCAAGAATGAAAAAAATTATATCTTTCCTACCATGTATAGAAATTAACATTGTAAAAAAAAGTTAAATTCTGCAATTTACTCAACAAAATTCTCACTAGTTGTTGGTGATGTTAGTGGCAGAATTCTGCTTTAGTCACCACAAGCAATAGCATTACTTTTATTTATTTAATTTTAGTTTTATGACAACTCATTGAAAATAAAACAACTTAGCCAATCCAAAGCATTGCTATGTAATGTTATAAATTAACTTCAGTAGAAAGTTGTCGCCTATGGGGGACACAAACTTAAAACGAAAAATTAAGCAAAGCATCACCTAAATTTATGGTAATTATTAAGCAGCTAATTCACCATAGCTAGCAATCCTGTCCATGACCTTGGCCACAACATCTTTGGACTCCTTCAGCAGCTTGATGCTCTTTTTCAGCTTCTCACGCTTTGCAGCAATTGCAGGAGATTCCACCAACATCATCTCAATTCCATGTCCATCGGGTCCTATTAACTCATTTACAATCTCCTCCATGTCATTGTTCACGACATTATGAACACAATACCGCAAATGCAATGCCATGGAATCTACCAACCTTTGCAGAACTATCTTCCAGTAAGCAGTCATTCTCATCTTCAGGTCGAAAGCTTGCTGGAGCAAAATACAGGAATGATGTCTGAGATGTACAACTTCAATATCCCCAAAACCTTCAACAGTCACACTGGAAGGCATCCACATATGGTTTGGTCCAGTATTTACAATCTTGATGAAATTGTCTTGTTGGTTCATGAGCTTAGTCCACTCCATCATGTACTCAGGATTACAAGTATAACATGTCAGCTTCTCCATCTGCACAATCTCCTTCACCCAATTGATTGATTGCACCCTCATCTTTTGAACAAGATTATGCGCAGCTCTTGTCGTGGACACCTTAAGCTGGGGATACATTTCAGAATGGCGCATCAAAACAGCCATGACCACCCCATCGATGTAGTCCCAAATCATTTCAACAAATTTAATCGGTGTACATGATATCCTCTCCACTTTTCTTTGCAGGATACGAAGGAATACTTCACGAGGAAGGAAATTCGGTAGTTCAATTCCTTTAGCTTCTTCCAAAACCTTGATCTCTTCTGCTAAAAAGTCTTTTGGGGGATCACTTTCCTCACAGTTGTGAAGCTCATACGAAAACTGGTTGAGCATTTCAACAAAACGAGCAGTACCATGCTTGGAACTATCATCAGGGTATTCATCAAAATCCCCTCGCCAAAGAAGTTTCCTAAGGGATTCTTTAACTGCTCCGATGATCCTCATAAAAGCTGTCATGGCATCCGCAACTGAAGCCTTAGGCATTCTTTCCAGCTCTGAAACATTTGCATTCAGCTTTTCACTAATGTTCTTCACTATCTCCGGTAAGCACCTTGCAATGGTATTTGCCTGAATTTGAACGAGTTTTTGGGCCAACGCTGGAACACCCACAATTGATTTATCAATCCCTGAGAGATGTGGATGAGTTTGGAACAATCTAGCCTCTTCCCTTCTTGCTTCTTCATGGGACTCATCACCGATACGATTCCTAACACAAACATAACCAAGTCCTATATTTACATCATCAGCAGTAACCTTCTCAAGCAACCCTTCGGGGGCTTTATCAGCCTTGGTAACCACAGCCAGAGTTCTCTCACCAGTCTTATCGACTTGCCGTGACATCTTAATGGATTCACAAGTAGCAAAATCAACAGAAGCAGACAAAACATTGAGGATAATGCTTTCTTTTGGTGTTATGTACTGCATGATAATATCTCTGATCTGCTCATATATATTTTCAGGCTGACCATGGACAGGAACTCTAGTGATTCCAGGAAGATCAACCATGGTAAGATCAGGAACACCATCCTTTTTCACCACCAAAGTAAGTGGGGTGTTAGATATGCCCTTACCATTGCCTGCAACCTCATCAGTTGCAAGATTTATGGCTGTTGCGATGTAGGATTCGCCCACCGGGACTACTTTACCATTGTACTCCAAGGAAAGCTCTGGCCTTGGACTTGAATGGTTTTGCAACCTGATTATGAGGGGCACCCGAGTGCAAATACCCTGGCTACGAGGAAGATTGACACCAGCCAAGGAATCAAGAACACTGGACTTCCCAGATGATTGGTCTCCAACCACAACAATTGTGGGGAGTTGTATGCCTTCTTTCATGACCATAAGGAGCCTGAGCCTGTCAATGGCATCAAGCAAAGGTCGGATTTTGTCATTGTATGATGAAATAATTGGAGCTGATTCCACTTTGGCTGCTACTACTTTTTCTTGTTCCATAGGAGCTGGAGCTGCATACGGTGGAGAATCATCAAAATCATAGATGACTATGCCGTCGACTCCAATGTTTTCTGAATCAACATCCTCATGTCCACTCATTTTTGAGATAAATAGTGAGAGACAAACGTTTGTTACTTGGGGTGCTTGTGGCTTGAGAAAAAGAAAAAGTGAAAGTGGCAGACTGGAGAGGACTCAGCAAAACTTGACGCTTTAGAAGAAAATTGTTCATGTTGAATAAGGTAAAAGTTGGCAGGTGGGAAGCAAGCGTAACGCGCCAAGCTTTTACTAAAGTGATGACGAATTCATTGAATCTTTATTTAAGTATTCTCCTAGGTTGGCTTTATAATAAAGATATTAGTTCATTTTAGGTAATTAGTAATTAATTTATACTTTTGTTTCAATCTAAACGTTTAACAATCATGTAAAGCTTATTTATCGGTTTTCCTTTGATCAACCAGTCTTTCCTATAGAATAAGGCAAGAATAGAATGGAACAAAGCACCAAAACAAGAATAGAATAAAGGGACAACATCCTATACTAAACCACAGGGAGCAAGCAAAGGCAAGCTACAAAGTGATGATGGTGGTCCGATGATTGTCTGACTGAGAGACTAAAGAAATATAAAAGGAATGAGAGGAAGGAATCTTATTTAGTATTTGATACCGAGGATAAAAAATAAAGAAAAAAACATACGACGTTAGAGGTAAAGTTATAAATAAAAGGGTTAATATAAATTGAATAATTACTTTATTCTATTTTCAAATGATCGGATCTGAATGGAAAGACGAAACACCTATTTATTTTTTTCTTCTATCACACAAAAAAAAATAAAACTTAAAGAAAAATAATTTTTTTATCACATGTAAACAGAAATACGTATTTTTTTTATATTTTTTTTCTTTTATCTTTCCAAAAGAATAAAAGAGTAGGATGCAAAGTGGGAAGAGAGATGATGAACTGCATACTTTGTATACACAAAAATATTACTTTATATAAAAGCAATTGAAACACATGAGCAGCTGTGCTTCGACAAGGTGGACTAGGAGCATGGTTTATTTTAAACTTAGTAATTTTGGATATTACAAGAGAAGATATGAAATTTAACATATTTGAGCTTAATTCTAATGTGTTTCGTGTTTAATTATGTATGACACATTTAAGATACAAAATTTTTATGTCTTAAACCTATTAAATATAAGTAACACATTTAAATATATTTAATTAATCCTGTTAATCATATTTAAAAGTGTATAAATGACACGTTTATCAACCCAATAAAAATTAATAATCAGATAATATTTTAACCTTACTTAAATAATTTTAAATAATTATTTTAAAAAGGTTTTTGAATTTTATAAGGATAATAATGTAATTATCCTCAAACCCTAATTTTGGAGTTTTTATTTGTTTTCATTTTAAAGGGTTTTTAAAAAAAAAAAATTGAGAGAAGGAGATTCGAACTTTACTCTTTAAGCAAAGAGATCATACATCAACCACTAAATCAAATGCTTGAATGTTATTTTCATTTTAAGGTTAGATATTAATAATAGATTTTATTGGTATGAATAAGATAAATTGATAGTGAATTTTATGTATGTTATTTATGTTAAATTTTATTATATTCAGTGTTATTGTTATTTTGTTTAGTTATAATTATTTTTATAATCATTAATTTTAAATTTAAATAATTTTATTTAATCTTGTTAAATATATTAATCATGTCATATCATCTATTGACATGTTTAATAAATATATTAAACGTGTTGTGTCGTGATATATAGTTATTAAACATATCCGTATACGTTTCATATTCAACCTGACCCAATTAAAACACAAAAACAGGAATTGTCATATCCAATTAATTTATCCCATTGCCAGGCCCGAAAGAGGAAGAGGAATAAGAGCTGCTTTAGGCAAAGCCTCAAAATTCAGCTGTTTTTGCTAGTAAGGTCTGGCATCGTTTGAGCAAATAACTATGCCTAAAACTACTAGTACAAGAGAAAAGTCAAGAATGGCTCAATGGCCATTCTTGGTAATAATGCACAAGTAATTGCTTAAGCTTGTACAGAAGAAATCTCACTTAAATTAAGGGGGCAGCATAAAACATATAGTAAGGATAACTTTTTTTTTTAATTAAATTATTTATTTCACTTAAAAGCAGTGTATGAATAATGTTACACTTTAGATTTAGAGTCCATTGACTGTTTAACACTCACTGTGTCAGGATATGATACGGTATAAAAATGCTGATAATAAATCTTACATAATACTAGTAAAGGGGAAATGTGAGTATGAAACAAATTCATACGTAAGGTTCATTAGGGAGCAATTCTACCCCTGAAACTCATCCTTCCACTTCAGGCATCCACGAGACTGAGCTAACAAATTATAATATACAAAAATCTTGATTGACAAAATGCTGTGTGAATGCCCTCTGCACAAGCACACAATGGTCCCTTCCCCCTTACATTTCAATGTCTTCCAGATCTGGAAGAGGGAAACGAAGGATTGCTGCAATACCAGTCAGCTGCGCCAGTTCTGTTTAGGACACAAAAATAAGTTAGGTGACTACAGAGTAATAAAACTAAATACCAAAAGCAGAAGAGTGGTACTCACCTTCCCCTGACACATGCAAAGATGAAAAAATGTGAGCAGTGCCCCCTGAATCCTTAACCGAGTTTACCAAATTGACATACTTTTGCCTCGTAGCTATATCAGAGTTCCTGAATGCCAAGTGAACAAATGAACAAAAAAACTAAATCAGCACGGACCTCTAATTAAGAAACTTCCACCACAAAAACGAACAATGTACAGAGGTTAGAGAGAGAGAGAGGTAGATACTAATTGGTGAACAAAAGCCATCCAAAAATAAGAGGTAATAATAAGTTAATCTCTTCAGAATATCAGAGTAACAGATTCAATACATTAATTGCTAGTTTATCACTTTATCCCCTCCTATGCTTGTAAAGACGTATATCTTGATATGTACAGCAATTTTTCCAAGACAACCTGATACACAATTATTGGTCAGTGCGTGACGAATACGCATCAGGGTGAGAATTTGTGATGCTTTCAGCAAGTAAATAAAGTGAAACATAAAGCAATTTGAGGGTTAAAAAGCGCATGGGTGTTTCCCATCAATCCCACAGTCAATTTGAGAGAGCATTGGCAGAACAACCACATGAATTGAAATATAATTATCTGCAGCTTCATCTCATTGAATCTAAACTTCAAAAAAATTGAGCTGATCGCATGATACATACCTGAAGAGATCATCTGTAATAAGAAGGGTTTGAACTGCCATTCGTTCATGGGCAATCTCCACATGTTTTGGTCCATAGCATGCACGAGCTGGATCCTTTACAATAAAATTGAACCAATTACAGCACAAGGGCCAAAAAGAACACAACTAACTTTTAAGACAAGCACTGAGCAAAAAAGAAGTTTTAAGACAAGCAAACAGGATGCTGTATCACGCAAGCACATCCCAGTTCCCCAGCCTCTTCCTAACTAGTTCATATGGGCACAGATATTATGCACACGTTCATCCATGATTATGCATGTGTGTGTGTGTGTGTGTGTGTGTGTGTGAGACAGAGAGAGAGAGAGAAAGGAGAAGTCACATTTGGTAACTATTCCTGACACCCAGAACAGCCATTGTGAATTTGTGACTCATTCTTTGCTGCATCTTCTTCCAACATCTTATCCTTTTTTTGTAATTTTTTAAAGCCTAATAAAATACCTAATATTAATTCTAGTTATAAACGAAAAATTCTATTAATTGCCTCACTGCCCATCATTAAGTCATTCTAGTCACTGCTATCTGGCTCTGCTTCATAGCAAAACCTTTTTCACCAATAATTAAAAGATAAACCCATTTTGACTTGCATTCTCTTGAAGCCCGAAACTACAATTAACATAACTCACAATATCATTAAGTCGTTCTAACCACAGCATATAACCAACAAATAGTGTGGAAAAACAGACACACTCACACACCCCATACATCTCTATGTTAGAACCTGACATTTGAAAGCATGCTGAAGAAATCTTTGAGAGCTCGGACCTGGTAAAATTGGGGAAATGGAGAATAAAAAGATGTTGTCAAAAGGAAAAAAATTAAAACAAGAAACAATCAGTGCAAAAATAAAATTCTTAGCCAAGTATGGTTTCTAGAATACCTCTTGGGCTGCTTTGGTATCTTTTATCATGTTCATGACATTTGGGGCATCAAGCACTTCTCTCAAACTATGCCTGTAGTCCAAATATATTGCCAAATCATACTAAGATCCATATGTGTACAAAAGCTCCAAATGAAAAAGCATCTATTAGAGAAACTACGATTGCATCCAATTCAAACAGGAATATGGATAAGACACAAGAAGACACATCAACTTTTAGAGTCTTGTTACCAGATCAAATCATTTCAGAATCACGAAGGAGGTGAGCATCGTTCTCTAGTGTTTTTAATGTTTAAACCAGTATATTCTAATGCCATGTTTTTCAAAATAGTTATTCTATGCAAATTAAGCAGGGTGGGCAGCAAAGAAGGCATCACATTCTACTAAGAGTATACTCCAAGGAATTCTCAAGATATATAGAATGTATCAAGACATCCTAAAATAATGGACTTGTCAGCTGTATCAACATGGAGCCCCTAGATACATGGTTCTTCAGATGAGGGGAAAATTTCCATTGCCCAATCCAGTTAGCAGAATAAACCCAAAGCAAAAGGCAAACATACTTGTATCCAGAGCTTGTATGCACAAGAATTATTCGTGACTTATTCTCAATAATTGGTCTTAGCTGTCTTCTTTCTGCCTCCAATAAAAGATGACGATGAAACTGGTCCTGAAACAGATCAAAGAAATGATAAAAATAATGATTATCATGATGATAATAATAAAAGCTAAATGTAATGTGAATGGTGTAAGAAGATAAGTGCTGTAAACTTCTCTTTCCATGAGTAGATGTTTGAGGAACATTAAAATAACCATAGAATTATGGCAGTCAGAAATGGAAAGAAAGTTACAAGGTTTTCTAACAGACCTTTGTGAAACCAGGACTTGCAATAACAGCACAGCGGACAACATTAAAATCAATATGTTTCATGAAAGCCTATAAAAGATGCACAAAAGCCAATTAGGAGCCACAAAAACTCACTTAATATCTTCAACCAAGACAAATTCAAGCATAACTGACCTGTAGAACATTCTCAAAGAACTTCTTCAAAGCCTGTAAAATGTTAAAAAAGAAATCAACAATTTCACAAATTAATAAGGTTGAGAACAAAACCGATTCTAATTATATGCTGTCAGCAGAGGTAAATGGCTTTCTAAATCAGAAATAAATTCCAAATTCAAAGAAATAATAAAGAAAGAAATACATACCGCCTCATAACCAGCAATGGCAGGTCCATGCTTGCGAGGAATTGAAGTTTCAATCCGTGAACGAGTACTTGTCATACTTTTGTACAAACCACAGTAATAATACTTAAGTTAAAATCTTGGACACCATTGCATACTAAAAAATTTATCATTTGAAAGTCAAATATGTAAGTAGTAGACAGGAAGGGTCAAGGAGACATTGTGTGACTTTGAAAGGGATGATTCAATAAGAAGGTTCATGTGCTTCCTAAATCTGCAACCAGTGATTTCATTTTTGCAGGAAAATAAAACAAAACAAAACCCTGCAACCAATAAATTACACTTCCAGCAAGGATTCATCACTTGCTTCCAACTTTCTTCACACCTTACCCCAAAAGCTTTTGCCGACAATTTATATAGATGCTTAACAAAAGATTAAGGAGACAAAATACCTAATAACCCCATCTTTCTAGGAAGTAATGCTATACAGAGGCATTTAGATTGTTGTCAATTCCATACTACTACAAAACCTTAAAAGAAACTTGTGTTACTTCTCCTTAAATGACTTCTCTAACCAACCAAATTCCTCCAAACTTGCCAAAAAAAGAATGAATACCATCCATTCTAGGCCTCTATGAAACTAGATACAAAAAGATAGTACTGAGAAAATATACATCATCAAAGTCAGGATCTAGAATTTGTTTATATAAGAACAATATGTTGTTAAAATGTTATTTCCCCAAGTATCATGGGCAAAGTTTATTCCATTTTTTTTAAACCTGAACTAGAAACAATTCCAGTTTTTTAAGAACCCCAAACGAAAATACTCCCTATTTCAATTTCAACATGTTTAGGCAAATAACTTCAACCAAGAGAAATTCAAGTGATCTTGGAATGGGCAATCACACCAGTACTTGCCACTATTTCTGTTCTATAAAGGTTTCATCATGAAAGGAAAATCCCCAATTCCCAGAGTTTCTAAGTCACTTTTCTCTTCCCAGAATTTGTGTCTGGACAAGGACAACGAAGAGTGGCAATTTACTTAGTTGCACTGTGTATTGGGTTTTCACCTTCCCAGTTTCAAAACTTCATGAACTTTGAGGAATATGATAAGGTCCACAGCCACATTGGAAAGTTTAATGAAAGCTATTTGTCTTCCATTCCTTTTCCTTTTCCTTTCCTATTTTGGAGACTGTGATAGTTGTAGCAGTGGCTTAGAATTAGCAACAAAATCAATCTTGATTCCACTTGAATTTGGGATTTGTTAACATTCTGCCCTTCAGTTATTATTGTTTCTTTGGCTACATTGCTTTTATGAATGTAAAAACATATTTTGGGAGGTAATGTTCCCTAGCAATAAATGCCAAATTGTACATCAAAGTTCAAAACAGTCTGAAACTGTCTGAAACATGAAATATTTCATTCCAACACAGAAAACAGACGCAGAATGGACATAATCGATTCTGGCACTGAGACCCATTCAAAGCAGACCATACACATGTACTTGTTTTTTCTGCGTTTTGGCCCATAATCATATGTTGAGTCCATAACTTTCTGAATCATCCTTTGCCGTGGTGAACCTCACTAGGTCTCCACATGATATTTCAGAGCAAGTACACCAAGCATCAAATAAACATGTGTGATCCCAGCTGATCAAATAATAATTTTAACTCCTCCCATCCTTCACCCTACAAACTTTCACTCACTTATAAATACTAACTACTTTAGCATCCTTATCAATTAAACTAAGTGAAATATGACAAAGCCATGCTGCAGATGTCAAACCCCTTTTCAACGATATCCTGAACATTATATCATAGACACTGTGGATGGATCCACAGACAAACTAAAGGGTGATTTCCAAACTTTATTCATAACAATCACTTCACCAAGCAGGCAAGCACCTGAAACAAAGTTATGAACATTCGTACTTCAAGTTAGTCACACATACCTTTTACCAACAAGCAAAATATTTGCTAACCCTTCTTGCATTAACAACACAGCCAGATCAGCACTCGCACCAGGATCTGAAATATGCTAACTATTAGTTACAAAGTTAAATCATACTTGGTAAAAACTTTTCAAATACAAAAATGATGCAACCTGAATTAGCATTACTCAAGTCATGACACAAAAGAAGGATTGAAGTGCAAAATGAAGACACATGACAACAAAAACTATATTTTAGAAAAAAGAGATGATGCAAAAGGAGGAAGAAGGGAAATATCAAACGCTTAGATGATGAGAGAGAGAGAGAGAGAGAGAGAGAAACAGACAAACATACAGAAAGAAAGCAAGCTTTTAAAAATTTTTGTCGGCCATCTTTATCACAGCTATAACATAAGCACTATACATTATGCGTTAGAAGCCCATGCACACACATCAATACAAGTTAATTCAAGGAAAAATCAAGAAAAGACTAAGCAATGATGGTAGCTGCTTATATAAGCTAGCCAGCAAAACATACATCCTATACTTGGACACCAAATATGTCATACATCACCTCACATTCATCTCTTTCAACAATATTTAGTATTAGTACAAAAAACAATCTATGCTTAATGACGTGAACAAAAAAAAAAAAAGGCAGCAATGACAAAAAGTTAGAGCAAAAGTGAGAGGAAAAAAGAGGAAGAGAGAGAATGGGAGGAAATGAAAGCAAGAAAGAGAACCATTAGAGAGAGTATTTGAAAATTTCAATTCCCAAATATCAATTTTAATTCAAAAATAACAATAATAAGCATTTATAGCACAAGCCTTACATTATGTCAAATATTGTTAGCATCCAACCTGAAACTAATTAGCATGAAAGTCCCAACCTCACTATAAAGCCACCATAAACCCCAAAATTAACCGATATAGGATAACAACTCTAAACACTCATATGTGGCCGAAAGACTACCTACTGAAACAAAGGCGCTACCATGTGAATAGCAAATTGGAAAACAAGAAACAGTTAAGAAATAACAAACAAAGAACAACTAACCTAGGTGATGACAAGGTAATACCATGTAAAGACCCAACCTAAAATCAATTTCTAATAAATGAAGGAATAAACCTGAATATAAGGCCCCAACAACTGCCCAACTTGACCAATGTAAGATACACCACTTAAAAATAACACACAAGGAACACCTGTAAATAAACTAATAATGAACACTTTAACCTTGCTGTTAACTATTATTCCAATCAATACTTCAACCCTAAAATTCAGATATGGAACCAGCTAAAATTAGTATTCAACCATACAAAACACTTCTCAGAAACCCTAAGCAAGATCAGAGCAATTTGCCACCAAACACAGAAGAAACTCTAAAATCTGCTCTTAAGATAATAACAAATGTCAGACGCTTTCTTGTGGAGATATACAGAAGAACAGAAAAATCAGACTGCATACCAGAGGCCTGTTGGAGCACATCTAATGCCAATGAGTCCCAAATATCCTGAAATATGTAAGGAAAATTCTGCAAGTCAGTGAGAGTATCAAATATTTGGGGAGAGCAACAGAGAGAGCACAAATACACTTTAAGGAGAACAAACACTGAAAAACTAGTAATGAGTGACCATAATAAGACTAATAAGATGGACCAAAAAATCTGAACAAATAATCGAAGCAACCAGATGATGTCAAGTGTAAAATATATTCCATGTAATCATTGTCAGGTAAATGTATTCCAAAAGAGGAAGGTCGTTCAGAAGGCTATAAAGGAAAAACCAGATATGAGAAACTGAAACTAAAAGTGTAGTCAGCATTTAGTGTCGCACTTAGGATAGGCTAAACTCATGATTCAGATTTCTCACTGTTGTACAATGGGTTTCACTAAGCTATTTTACTTTTCAAACTTAAGTCCATGCCAGTAGCAGCCTACATATAGCTTATGAAAACAAAGATATGCTAGCTTATTTTTGTTGACCTCTTTGTTTGCCCTCTTTTAATATATTTGTTCCACTATGAATTTGAACTTCAGCAGATTTGCCTCTTCAGTACCAAGCACCTGCAGCCCGAAACTTCAGATCTTTTTCCATACCCTTCAGCATGCACTCAGGCCACTATCCCTAAACCCTCAAATAATAGAAAATTAATGTTGAGCATAAAAATCCTGCACCCATTATACTCCTTTGATGTTACTGGGCCTTTACTTATGGTCCAAGAGTGGGTGATAGTCAAGTTTGGCAACTTCCACTGTCGTACAAGAAATCTTTGTGGGACTATGATCAGTAAAAGCCAACATAAATCCCTTACTCTTTCAATTAACTAATGAGTATATTGAAAACTTACTAGGTGGTTACAAATCCTTTTCTGAAAACAATTACCAGAAACAACACAATCACACTCTCAGGTTGAAGGGAGAAAACTAATACTAGGGACTGACGTAGAATTCATCTTCTTTTCTTATTCCCTTCACCCTAGAAAACCCCTTTAGAAACTATAATCCACATCTATTTTTCCAACTCTATTGTAACCAAATAGTCCTAGATAATACCCTTTGAAACTGTTGTTTCTTGACATCTATGTCAAAAGGCTATTTAAGCCCCACACATGCAAAAGAAAAAAAAATTCAGTCCAATTTGTTGATATAGCCTCCAAAATAGCCAGTTTCCAAATAAAAAGGAAAGAGAAAATATATAGGATGCATCACATATAAAGGAGTATATATTTACAAGCACATCTCCTACAAAGCTGAAAAGCAGGCTGAGAAGTGCCACTGTTATCATTAGTTGATCCTCATAGTGCATTTAATCTGAGTAAACTTTTAACTGTAGGTGCTTCTATTTCTGTTGCCTATTCTCCTACAAACATTCGTGGTGATCTCCCTCCCTCCCTTTCCTACAAACACACGCACACATAAATGGAAAGACACCTCTTCCACTAGTCACAACCTCCTTAAATTCTATAATGGCATATCTTTAAAAAGCCAAAACATGTAGAAAGTAAAGAACTTGGGTAACATTTATTACTGATCAAAGAATTTTTAACTATATGAAGAACGAAAGATATGGGAACAAACAAAGAGGAACATCTAGAGATTCATAACTATCAACAACAGAAGCTTGACTACTGAATTAAGGCTCCATTCGGTAACCAGGAAAATGGACTTCAAAAGAAAATTTGGTCAACTGAAAATGGACTTATGGTCAATGTAAAAAACACTCAAATCTGAGGAATTTGTGTTCCTTTTGGAGATCCGGAAGACAATTTCCTAAACTCACCCATAACACATAGCTAACAACACAACAGTCTACAACCTCTCCCAAACCCAGCAGACTCAAAACCCAACTCCAGTGACCACCACTGGAGCAACCGGAGACCAGTCCAGCCACTGATTTCCTTCTCCTACTCCACGCTCTCCCTCTCTCCTCCTCACTCACATTTTCTTCCTTTCCTTCAAACATAACACAGCCACCAAAAGTCCTTCTTCCACTTTGAACACCAATATCCTCCACCTGTAACTTTCCCTTTGCAACCACCAAGAAAGATATCCCTTTTTTTGATCAAATATTGCTATTTGGTTCTTTTATTGTGTTTATTTATACGGGTTTTACAAATTTGAAACGGGTTTCATGTGCTTTGAACAATTTTGCTTGATTTGGATTAAAATCATGATGAAATGTCGAGGATAACGGAAAAGGTAAATCGTTGAATGGGAAGACGACAAAACTTGGTTAACAGGAGGAGTTTGGTGATGTTTCAAGTTAGAGAGAGGTTTAAACAGGGAGATGGGAAAGAGAAGAGTGAGGAAGGAAGAAAATTTCAGGTGTGTTTCATTTGAATCATAAACCAGAAAATGATTTTTCTCTAAAGCCATGCAAACAATGGAAAATTTTTTATTTTCTGGAAGTTGTTTTCTACAAACAAATGGAGCCTGAGAGAGAGATGCCTAAAAGCATACGATGTTTATATCGCATGAATATAATACCCATAGCAAGTGGACAAACAAGAAAAGATATACTGCTGTAGATTATTCTCAAAAGGATAGCTACCTTTCTCAATACAAAAGGTCGATGAAGCTCAAGTTCTAGAGTATGGAATGCTCCTATCTGCAACAAGACAATGATGCATTTAAACGCAAGAAACTAATAACATTTCATAAAATCAGACAAAATTCTATGGTGCACCTACCTTAACATGTTCATTTTCCAGCACGTTCTTTCCCCTTATACGCAAGATAGAACCTTCTTTGTCATAATCTATTACCTGAATAAACAAAATAACATAATATCAGTAGTAATCTTCATAATAGAGAAGTTAAAAATTAATCAAGCTGTTAACTTTCAAAAAAAAAAATTAATCAGGCTGTTAAACATATTGGCAGATATACCTCAACTTTGATTTCTAACTTCAGAGTAATACGCTCTGCATCTCTTCCACCAGCCGTCTCCCGTAGAACTTTCCTATTATAGAATGTCCACAATAATAAGAAGATTTAACATCAAGAAACATATAAACATCAAACTAGTTGGGTTTTACAAGCTAAAAATACAATTGCAATTAAAAGTTATGAGCTAGCATGAGAAACAAGACCGGCAATTGTTACAGGAAAAAGGAATTTTTTTTATCAGCTAACAAATATCTGACCGATAACTAATAATTCATTAAAAAGAAAACCATATTAGCAGCTAATAATAACATTAAAGAAAAAGAAAAATAAACTATTTATAGTACATAAAAAAAACTCTATAAACCCTAAATTACCCCATCCATAACCACACAAAGCAGCTAAATTTCATCAGAAAAAAAAAAAGAATGTCAATTACTAACAAAATAGAATAAAGCAATCCATTCAATAAAAAAAGAAATTGAGAGGAAAAAGATAAACCTGACGGTTCGAGCCATAACTCTATCTCCAGTAGCTATCAAATTGTAAACAGACCAGAGATCATCCGAATCCACCGGTATCATCTGCAATCAACAATTTCTCATTAAAACAAGGCTCATAATTGAATTATATATATAACTTTTGTTACCTTGACGCTGCCAGGGCCGTTGGGAACGAGGTCTCGGCGTACGACTTTCATGATTTTAACTACAAATCTGGTTTTTTTCTTTCTTTCTTTTTCTCTCGTAAGCTCTGCAAAAGAGAACTCCTAAGTACACAAACACGACTAGTTCATATTTGTATAAATATATACCAAACACAGTGGAGTCGTACAGATATTAGGATCTAATATATATTTAGTTTAAGTTTGGATTACGATCAAATTCATTACACTTTTTTTTTAAAAAAATTTGACCTTTGGATAAAATTTTTAAATTTTTTAACATTATATTTTTATATTGAATACTGTTCTAAAATTACAAGGAAAAAAAACATTTTTTTAATTTTAATAATTTTGTTTGTTTTAATTTTTAAGAAACATATTTATGGGGATATATAAAATAATTTAAAGATGGCAATGGATCCGGCGGGCGAGAACTGTCTCATTTCCTCTACTTTTGGATGTAAAATTTATGCGTAATTATTTTAATTAAATTTTTAATACAAAAAAATTATGTAACGTTGATATCAATTAGATGTAAATTTTAGAAAAATATAATACATTTCATTTTACACAATAATTTATAATAGTTATTATAATAGTTTTAAATGGAATAAACTTTAAATATAAGTAAAATAAAATTACTTCATAATAAAGTTTAATTTTCCAATTTTAATGTAAATATTTAAACATAATTAAGTAAAAGTCTCGAAGTATATACATATAAAGGGTATTTAAAAATAAATAGTTTTAAAAAAATAAAAAAAATGCAAAATGGTAATATTAGTGGGTGGAAATGATCTATGAAATATATAAAATAAATTACACAACTTTTATTTTTTAAAAAAGTAAACATTTAAAATGGACTGAATTACTAAAAACTTAAATCCTTAAAACATATAATAAATTTTATTTTTTGATATAAAGATTTTCAATTCTCAAATAAATATGTGGACAGAAGAAATAATAATATACACAAGGAATGGTTTCTAACTTTCTAGTTATTAATTGCTAGTTGTTGCATTCTTAATTAATAAATTAATCCAACATGATCAATGGTGAAAGTTATATGAACTTAAATCCAAATCGTCTAACTTTCACACTTAATTTCCTACATAGTTATGCAAATTGATTCAAATTTAAGTATGACAACTTGGATATAATATAGAGACGAATTTGTTAGATATTTAATAAATAAATTGGGTTCTGTTCTGTTACTTCTTATATACAGAAAAATTTTAATATAAATCCATTAAAAATAATAATAAACAAATAGCACAAAGTTTGATGAACCCACACACATTACTGAGACTTGAATTTGGAATTTAGAGGTTCAAGATCTCTTGCTGATTTATTATGCTTTCTCCCCATGAAAGCCTGTAAAAGATATCTGTCAAACCATTTAGCTGATAATTGGGATGCCCATCTAGATGCTTGAGGTTGGAACTGGCTGAAGGCTTGGAGAAGTTGCCATAACCAGTCTCAGAATATAGTTTCTGAGGAAGTACTGTTTGAACCAACATGTTATAATCATCAGAAAGGAGGTTGTATCAACTTTGAGGAAGCTGCTAGGATTAGCAGAGTATCTGATGTCTTCTGAGCTTTGTTTGCAATAATTATTTTAATTTCCAAAAGAGTCCTAACATAAGTACTTAACCTTCATGCCATTGCTCTGACATACACAGGCCAATGAAACAGGTCTTTCGTGTTGCCAGTATTAAGCAACCACGTTGAAGTGCGGAAACCTATCTCTGCATGCAAATGGACATCTGGCAATCTCCTCTTTCCAACGCGTGTCATTATCAACACTCAATGATCATTTCCTTCTTTGCTCTTTTTTATGTTACATCTTACACTTCTACTCCACTGCTGGGCTTTATGTTTTTACTCCCTTCTTTTTCAAGTTTCAATCAAATCTACACCTGCTTGAAAGATCCATCATGACTTCAACAATGTTCGAAGTAACCATCTAAGTATTTTTATCAGGTAAAAACTTGTCCAGATTTTCTAGTTCCTAAGAAAACTTGAGAGAAAAATATTCCTGTGTTTCTCTTTTCTTGGGGGTAGGTGTGGTAATAAGATCAAAGGGTTGAAAAAAGTTCTCTGAGAGATATCAAAACTCCCTGATTGTTGTTCTTTCTTTCTCTTACCTTTAATTTCTAGACAGTTAATTTGCAGGACCATGTTTTAGAATTTGGAATTATCTTTATGAAGATTAATTTAGTGCCCTGTAATGTTTGTTCTAAATATTATTCTGTTTTTGCCTCTTTAGGCTCCATTTTGTTAGCATCCATGAAAATCTGAAGGCAAGTTACAAAGTAACCAAACAAAAGGTTTGTTGGTTAGCTTTTCTAATGCAGAATTTTGTTCAGAATTTTATTTAATTAATACGATGATGGTAATTTTCTTTTCTTTTTTTTTTTAACTTTCTTCGGCTAAGTGAGTAACTCATTTAAGGCTTGTTAATTTGTTCTAGGATGGATGACCCAGTATCAGAATGGGAAATCCAAGAATCATCAGGAGGGAACAGTGACAACGGAAAACTACGTTGGATGATGAGATTAGGAAAGAAAATTCTGGTCACTGGAATTGTTGTATCGTCTGCACCATTTGTGCTTCCTCCACTTGCGGCTATCTCCGCTATTGGGTTCTTTTGTTCGGTCCCTTATGGGATCTTCTTGCTAAGCTATGCTTGCACTGAGGCTGTCATGAGTAGGTTACTTCCAATGCCTTCACCAACTGCTCCATTATTGTTGGAATATAGAGAGGCATATAATGGTGAGGAAGAAGCTAATGGGGATGAGAAGCAAGGAGAACAAAATGAAGTGATTAAAGGAGGTTTTAAAATGGAGAGGGAGGAAAAAGAATTAAAGGAGGATACAATCGAAGAAGTTGAGATGAGAATTGAATTAGTTGACAAGGTAAAGGAGGAACTTGATGAAGGGAATATTTTGCAAGGGGATGCATTTTCAAATGATGGTGTTGAAAATGATGAAAAGAAATCAATGGAAGAAATGGATCAAATTTTGGAGGGAAATAAGCATGAGGAAGATGATGGTGAAATTTTGGATGAAGAAGAGGAAAGTCCATCCCAAAGTTTTGAGGTAGAAGTTAAGGAAATTACAGAATCGAAAGTAGAGCAGCCTACTATAGAGGAAAGTAGGGGTGAACAGCTAGCAGGTGAGGGCCAAGGTTTTGAGGCTATTGTTGAGGGAGACAAGAAGAACAGTAGCAATATTGAGAAGGAACAACCACTGGAAACTGAAAATGTCGAAGACAATGGGGAATTAGTAAGAGAGACAAGTGGTCTATTGGGAAGAAATAGAGTTGAGAACAAATCTGATTATGCAAGGGATGATAATGAGAGTGTTCAGAATGTAGATGCACAGAGAAAACCAATAAAGAAGACTGAGTTGAAAGTTGAGGGAACAACAAAAAGGAAGGGGGAACAATCCACTGCAGAAAGTGTGAATGAACATCCAAGAAACGAGATTCACGAGGGTGAAGAGAAGGAAAGGGGCAATTTGAATAAGGAAACAACAGTTGAAGTGAAAAATGTTGCTACTCAAATAGTTCAGGCTACTAATATTGAGAGTGATGAATTGGTAAGAGAGACAAGGGGATTTTTAGAAAGAGGCAGAGAAAAGGGCAGAAATCGTGATGCAGTGGAAGATAAGCAGGGTGTGAAAAAGGCAAAGGTTGATGCCGAAGGAGAACTACTAGAAGGGAATGAGAGAACAATAGAAAGGAAACAGGAACAACCCCTTATAGAAGAAAGTGTGGGTGAGCAGCCAGTAAATGAGGTTAGTGGTATTCTAGATGGCTTAGAGGGAAGTGATAAGAGATGACAACAATATGGATGAAACACCACTGGAAGTAAAAAATATACCTGTTCAGTTAGTTCAGGCCATTAATGTTGAAGAGAATGAGAAATTAGTGATAGAAGCAAGGTATTTATCAGAAAAAATCAGTGATGAGAGCAAACCAGATCATGAAGTGGATGATAAGCAGACAGCAGAAAGAGTCAATGTAGGTGGAGTTGGAGAGCAATCAAAAGAGATAGAGGTGAAAATTAAGGGAACAACAAAAGTGAAAGTGGAACAATACCTTGGAGATGAAAGTATGAGTGAAGAGCCAATAGAGGAGGTTTGTAATATTGTGGTAGAGTTTGAGGGAGATGAGAAGAATGGCAGCAATATTGAGGAGGAAACACCATTTCAAATAAAAAATGTAGCTGTACAATTATCACAGTCGACTGATGTTGAAGAGGATGAAGAATTAGTAAGCGAGACTATGGGATTACTAGAAAAAATCAGGGATGAGGGGAAAACTGATTATGCAGTGGATGATAAGCTGAGTACAGTAAAAGAGCATGTAGGTGCAGAGAAGGATGATAAGAAAATTGTTGGGGATATTGAAGAGGCTGAAAATAGATGTATTCTTGCCCATGACAGAATGGGAAAGCCAACTACGGTATTCAAACCCAAAGAAAATAAAGAAGATAACAAGGTGCAAATGAAGGAATCTATGGAAAATTTGGATGCTGCCTCAAAGGAGATGAAGCTGGGTACAGATATTGAAGGTTTATCTGAGAAAATGGATGTTGATAATATTCCCTCAATAGGGCTAGTGAGTGAAACGGTAAAAAAAGGTAGCAGTATAATTGAGATTATAGTAAAAAGTGCAAAATTAATGGAAAGAGGACGAGCAGAAGATGATAATGAAAGCAATGTAGAACTAAATTATCTACTGAATAGGGAGAAGAAAGATGTGATTTTCTCCAATAAAGATGAAAGAGAAATCGGTGATGAACAAGGGCTTGACCTGTTAAGTACGGTTAGTCAGCAGGGCTCCCCTTCATATGTGAACACTTTTGAAGGTAGACTTTTCCAATAGTTGCTTTTAAGTTCATCTTGTTCTCCGTATTGCTTTTGGTCATAAGGGTAAATACGATTCTCATATTTATACTCATATGGAGCACATGCAGAAAGTCATCCTTCATCAAGTTACTCAGATCACCAAGAGATTTCTGATTCTTTAGAGCTTCCTGTTTCTACAAAGGCTCAAGAATCCGACGACATTCATATATCTGCAGCAGGTGCCATTGATAAAGTTTCCAATGAGGTTAGGCCCAAGTTTATTTATATTGCAAATCATTGTAGCTGTTACTGAATAGAATTCTCAGTCTCACTAAGATTGGGAGCCATACTCCAAATAATTGATGTATAAGGGCAGAGCTTTTTAGCTTTTTTTTTTTATTGTTTCAGAATATTCTTAGTATTAACCACTTTATTATTTGTTTCTTACCTTCGTTATTTCTTGTTCCAAAATCATTTTACAACAAATAAGGCTCAGCTTCTGAGTCTGAGGACTGATTTGGTTATCTTCAATCAAATCATTGCCTTTCTGGCATTACCCCTTTGTTGACTGCTGCATGCACTATTTTTTTTCAGTGACCATCTATGCGTGCTTTCTCTATTCTTTGTTTGTTATAAAAATGTCAGGGGTGCTTCATATGCCACATTTGTATTATATATAATGACTGCAAGCTTAGGTCTTTAGGGAGGATGCCACAGATTGTTTTAGCTGATTATTGAACTTTTACAAGAAAAAAAATTTGAATATTTGCATTGTGGAGAACAATAAATCCTGGTGCCAGCACATGAAACATGACTACTTGGCGTGATGCTGCTAAAAATTTAAGTGAAACCTGTACTGTTCTTTCCTCTTTCTTTCTTTTTTTTCCCTGAAAGCTTTTAACTCAATATTCATATTGTCAACAGTTTGTGTGGATGCATGGCTGTATACCTATGTGCTCTTTTATTTTGTGTCATTAAAGTCTTGAGAGGCACTACTTAGCATTTGCAAACGTGTGAGTGTTTGCGGTTTAGAGAGAAGTGAACAATTTAAGGGTTTATACAAACATTTACAGGTGTCCAGTGATTATTGCCAGTGTTAACTTTGAGAAACCTTTAGATTCTGAGAGGAAGATGAAGCTGCATGTTGGATGTTCTTGGATAGGTATAGGCCTTCAATTTCCAATATGGCCAAGGGAGAAAAATGGAAAAAAAAAGGTAAGAAATCAGGAATGTAGAGTATAATACAATGCTGTAACACATCCCATATGAATCTTGCCACCAAAACATGTTGCCTTTTCAAGACAGAATCAGTCTCATCAGACAGCAATTCCGAATAATATGTTGCTGCTGGTTGTATTGAGCTTCTTGAGTATCTTCTCTTCCTAAGTTCTCACATGTACACCCACAGGCTCGGACATAGTTCAAAAAATATAAGATTGAAAGCAAATAATGGAAACACTTACTTTAACATTATCGACATAGTAACTTTTTGGTTTGTGGGATGAGAACGCAGTTGATCACACTGGCCCTATTGGTCATTTTCAGATGTTCCTTTGTTTTGATCTTTTTTAAACTTAGAATAGGCTAGCTTGCTTGAACATGAATTAACTTGTCAGAACATGACCGTCATGATGGTAAAACCCCTAGCACATAGGGAAGATGTCTTTCCTGAAGTAAATGTGTTTATGGCAAAGGATTATAAACATTTCAATCCTTTTGTCTATATGTTGCTTTTGCTTGTAGGCTACTTCATATTGATTCCATTAAGTCTATCCTACTGTAGGCATTATTTAGTGAGGCGAAGCTACGAGAACAAATCAATGCGCTGCGAGCAATAGTTGGATATAAAGCTGCAAAAAAGGAAACGTGCATAGAGGAATTGAAAGCTCTCTATCTTTTCACTGGAATTGAACCCCCCACTTCCTTCAAGGACACTTCTGATGTCGTGGAAGTCAATGCCAAGCTTCGGTTTCTCATGTTTGTCATTGGAGTGAAGTAGGAATCCAGTTCATCATGTACTTGCTTTTAGTAGGCTCTATGGAATTTGCATTTTCTTCTAAGATTTGTGTAGTAATTACAAACTTCATCTTGTTATACTGTTTAGGACTTTAGACTAAAGAGTAGAGAAAGCTTGGAGTGTAGGATAATATGAGCTTGTGCTGTTTTGGTAACATGAACTATTTCTATATGTAGCATATTGAATTTTGCATTTTGGAACTAAGTGTTGCTTTCGCATTAATGTTGAATTGGACATTGTTGCAGCATTACCTTTGGGTCTAAGCCATGTCCTTGGGGGTATAGTTTGATCATGAAACATGCTTTAAGAGGACATAAGGAACAGTTTCAGATACAAAACCAGCAAAGTGATATTTCATGCTAGAGTCCCTAACATCTTCATATTCATTCCTGCGTAAAAGAATTTTTTTATCATCATTAATTTATCAATTTAATACTTTAAAAAAATAAATTCATATATATATATATTTATTAACAATTTATTGAATACAAGAGAAAATCATCTCTCTTACGGATAAACAATTGAAGCCCAAGTTTGCATACGAGTGGGTTGCTCAATCTGGGTCAGAGCCGTTTATTTTCTCAGCCCATAATTCCACGGATCCGATCCGATCCCATACGTGCGGCTGACGAGGCACGTGTGAGGATTACTGCCAGCTGTACAGGACAATCAAAAATTGTCAGACACAGGGTGGACGGAGAAACCGCTGCAGATCTTCAGTCTGCAAAACTGCAAAATCGGATCAAGCACTTAGACCGATTCTTCATTTATTTTTATTTTTTAATTTGATATGTATTTGTTTTAGTTATAGATCCAAGAATATTATACCTTTACTTTTAAATTTTTTTTTGTAAGAAATCAATATAAAAAAAAAAGGAAATGAAATAAGTTAAAGTGAATGAATGAGAACCCCGCCTTCTTTGCTGTCTTTAACTATAGATTCAGCTGTCATAAACCTTTCCAACATCACCGATCTCTCTCCTCTACCTGATCATATCCTCATCGATCTCTTCCTGGTAAACTTTCTTTCTCTGTTCATTCTTAGTTCTTGATGTTCTGTTCTTGATCTTTATCTTTATCTTTTCCTGAGTTTTCTTGCCGTTTGGGTAGATGGGTAGTTCTATTCTTGACTGTCTTTTTGAATTTCTGTCTTTTAATGTAAAGTTATGAATGTTTCATGGGTTGGGTTGGGTTGTGTGGTTTGAGCTATGATAATTTTCTGGGTTACACGAATCCTTTGATTTCAATGTGATATGGCTAAGACTATAGGAAGTGGTTAATAGTTTGGTTAAGGAGTTGCCTAGTCTGTTTTCTTGCATTCACAAGTTTGTTTTGATCAGCTATGTAACTGGGTTTCTTTGCTCTTTTTTTCTTTTTTTCGTATTACACAAGTTTCAAACTTGTGTTATATGTTCTTCAATATGATTCATTATCTTTTCAATCAAAAATGGCCTTCAGTTAATATTTTCTATCGAATTTGAATACCAGTCTCGGTTATATCTTGATTTCCAACTACTAATAAAAAAATTGTGAGCGGGTGTATACTTAAGGAAGTGTTGGGATCTTACGTGAGTAGCTTGAAGTTATCTAGATACTAATATATGAGAACTTTAAGGCCTTAGGATGTGTAAAGCCACTTCTCTCTCTTTCTTGTTTAAATTTTCAGTCCAAGTGGTAGACAATGAAATTCTACTCTGGTAAGACAATCAGCATAGATTTTGAAGAATTGCTGTTGAATTTAATGTTTTTCATAATAAAGTAGGCAGTATTCAAAATCTGGGAGACAATTGTTGTTTCCAGTGAATGGAGAAACCTGAATATATTACCATAAGGATGGCGATTTCAACAACTAAGCGGTTAGCCATGTTGGTTGTGGTGCCCGCTGAGTCCTACAATGAATGTGGCTGGGGCAAAGAAGAGGACTTTCTCTTCCCATTTCAACAAGTAGCACTTTGCTCTCTTGATAAAATTTACCCACTTTAAAAAACAAGGCAGGAGAAGGACCTTGAGGAGTGTCTTATTGTATTGGATCCATAAGTATACTTTGCAGGAAAAGTCCCTGCACTGGTTTTTAAATTGATCGATTTGAACAAATTTTCTGACAGTTTAAGTGGCATTGAATGGATTTTTGGGATTATAAAAGTTTTGTGATTTTGGTTTCATGTCAAGGAGATTGAGATTTGCATGTAGGTTTACATTTTGGTTCTTTGGGACTAAGGATTTTACTAATTCTTTTAAAGACATGTCTGAGGAAACAGCAAGCTAGCTGTTGAATTTAAGTTACAAAGGCTCCTAAATTTTTCTTCTTTGTTTCCCTTCTTATGCTTGGATGGGTAGCTCACATCACTCGCTTTAATCACTTGATTTGATAAGTTTTGTTATCTGTGCCACTTGTTTAATAAATTTCCTTTGCGATGATAATGTTTTTTTTCTTCTTTTTCTTAACCTTTTTTTTATTTATTCTGTATTGCATAATTTTCCACATTTTTGTTTCTAAATTCTTTTCCATTTTCCTTTTCTCCTTCAAATCCTTTGAACCGTAGTGTAATTGAATAAAATCTCAGCTTCATGCTTATTTTTACTTTCTTTCTTCTGTCTGCCAAGCTTGAATTTAGGTTTATGAATCTAGCTTGTTTCTGGAACCTTGTGATTTCTTTGTTTGAACTTTTTGTTTTGGTTCAAGTGGCATCCGTTAAGGAAGAATAATTTTCATGATTCGGCAGAGAACATTGAGAGCTGGAAAGCTAACTGAGAGAGTTCTGAAGCTGTTTATAGCTACTGGAAAGGACGAGGTCCACTCACTCATCCAGGCACTCAACATTCAGGTCATAGTTACCCCTGTCCTTCCTACCAGTAAGTCTTTTTCAGAATGATGAATATCCCCCTTTTGTTACCAATAGGTTTTGAGCTGATTTCAAAATGAATTTTTGTTCCCTCCATAGGATGTTCTGAGAAATTCTGAGATTGGTTTAATCTGTGGAACACGCGGTACTTGGTCTAAACACGAGTTGCTTTTAAGGGGCCAGACTTTCTGAATTGGGTTCTTGTTTGTATTTGGCAAGATGTCTCTAGAAATTAAGGACGATGAGATTGACATTGTGATTGGAGCAGTCAGTTCTGACATGACAGCTTTCATGAATGAATGGAGACCTATATTCTCTCGATTTCATCTCATAATTGTCAAAGACCCTGATTTGAAAGAGGAACTCAAAATACCTGAAGGCTTTAACCTTGATGTCTATAAAAAGTCTGACATAGATCGAATGGTGGGTTCTTCTACTTCAATTCTCTTCTCTGGCTATTCATGCAGGTATTTCGGCTATCTTGTTTCTCGGAAGAAGTACATTGTCTCTGTAGACGATGACTGTCTCCCTGCCAGGGACAATAAAGGCTTTTTGGTGGATGCTGTTGCCCAGCATATTACCAACCTTAGAACCCCAGCCACTCCATTCTTTTTTAATACTCTGTATGACCCTTTCTCTGAAGGAGCGGATTTTGTTCGTGGCTACCCATTTAGCCTTCGGAGTGGGGTGAAATGTGCTTTGTCATGTGGGCTGTGGCTTAATCTGGCTGATCATGATGCACCTACTCAAGCCCTCAAGACAAGACAAAGGAATTCCCGATATGTTGATGCAGTTATCACTGTCCCAGCTAGGGCCCTGGCACCTATTAGTGGAATCAACATTGCTTTTGATCGTGAGGTGGTAGGACCTGCCTTGGTTCCAGCTTTGAGATTGGCTGGGGAAGGTAAGTTTAGGTGGGAAACAATGGAAGACATCTGGAGTGGGATGTGTGTTAAGGTTGTATGCGATCACCTGGGGCTTGGTGTGAAAAGTGGACTGCCTTATGTGTGGAGAACTGATAGAGGTGATGCTATAGCAAGCTTGAAAAAAGAGTGGGAGGGTGTGAAGCTGATGGAGGAAGTTGTCCCATTCTTTCAGTCAGTGAGGTTGCCACGGACAGCTACAACAGCAGAGGACTGTGTGATTGAGGTGGCAAAAGCTGTTAAAGAGCAGCTAGGATCAACAGATCCTGTGTTTGCTCGCGCTGCTGGAGCCATGCTGGATTGGGTCAAGCTCTGGAAATCAGTCGGATCTAGCTCATCTCCCCCAGGGGTATAGGAATTAATCATGGTTATAAGTTCCCTTTTTTTTTTTGCTAGAATGATTTCTAGTATACCCTTGCTAGATTTCCATGTTTTTATCATAGTTGTACCCTATAATAGTACTTTTATAATGGTTGATGGAGTCTAGCCTGGACAATGAATAAAACATATATTGTTGTTGCAGAGAGGGTTGTGTTATGATTAATTTTTGGACGCTGCAATGTGATTGTATTGTTCATACGCTTATGTTTCTGATTATATACACTTTGCTGATTGATGGAACTTTTGGATGGAAAATTTTTTTAACTCTTGAGTTAAAAAGTCATGAATTATTTCCACTAAATTATATTTTTTAATAGTCCAAGGACTTCTGGAGAAATCTCTTTTTCTGAGAATAGTTATAGGCTCTCCTTTGTCACTAGCTAATGATCAATGAAATACCAAATGAGCAATAGTCCTTTGAAGAAATCCCAAATACATAATGTTGTTCTTTCTTTTGCAAATCAATTCTAGTTAATGATCAATGGAGTTTAAAAACCATTTTTGCGCTTCATCTTTTTTAATTTGTTCACATCCAAATTTCGTATAAAAAATTTAAATGTATCGTTCCTTGAAGATATATTTCTTATTGAGCCAAATATTCAATGTTCATGCAATTGCAAGATGTATGATTACATAAAATTTTACGTATTCCTTTTGTATAAATAACAATTTTTGATGGTACCCAACTCTAAATATCTCTTTTTATAAACCCTTTCTTAAAACCCCGCCAGGCACAAGTTTCCCACGACTTCAACGAGAAGAGCCCTCCAAATCAAAAACCCAGTAATCATAACAGACTTGCGTGCCTTCGTTTTTTTCTTTTTCTTGGTTGGATTTTCAGATAAAGGCTTTTCTGGTTGTGGGAAAGTGAAAAATGTCAAAGTCTTGCAAGGGTTTGGCCATGGAACTGGTAAAGTGTTTAAGTGAATCAGATTGTGTCAAGGTACTCTTTCTTCCCTTTCTCTACTACTCTCTTTTCCCTCTGCTTTCCCTTTTTTTTTTCCGACATAAAATTGTGGAGTATTATTGAATTTGGGCAATTGGGTATTGCTGGTTAGGTTGAGAAGCGTTCTTTCCGGGAATGTGCTGGAGAAAAAAGCCCTTCTATATCAAGCGAGTGTGTAGGACTCAGAGAAACTTATTTCAATTGCAAAAGAGGACAGGCATGCTGCTTCTTCTCTGCTTATTTCTTTGTGTTCAATTATAGATTTTTTCTATCTTATTCATGTCTCTTATATTGCTGAGGAATTTTTTATCTGTCATGAGGACGGTTTAAATTGTGGTCCAAGTTATGGCTTTAATTGGTTTAGGAAATAGTTATCTGATTTTTTTTTTCAGTTTTTTTTTTTTAAAGAACGGTCTGCTGTTGATTTTACCTCTTTGGGTATATGATTTTGGGTTACAGAATGGAAGTAGCCCTCTCCCACCCGTTAATCCCACCTTAAATCCCAAGATTGGAAATTGATCTAAGATAGAAATTCAAGTTCTAACCGCTAGCATGTCCCTTTGTAGACAATGGTTTGCTGTTGATGACAACAAGATTTACATCACTTACAGTTATTTTTGCTGCCTCCCTTTTCTTTAGGTTGAATTTTACCAAATGGAAAAGGGATCACTGGTAGGAGGATATAAATAAGTCAATGCATATAGAATCGGAATATCTTCGAAATGCACCAGAAATACTAGTTCGTTGGTTTTATGTGTGTCCTTTGCCTTTTTTTAACTCTAAATTGAAAAAAGAAATATATTTTTCTTAACGCATAACTCCCAATTGAACTGCATTGCTTACAAAGAGCAATTGAACCTAATAGAGCAGTACATTTTGAGAGGTTGGTTTTCTTTGTTTATCCCCACAACAATGTCATAAAGGCATAAGCTAGAATATTTATCATTATAATTCTTCAGATTAAAGGATCTCTGTTTTGTCATGTTCTAGTTTTCTTTAGTTTTAGATTTAGAGCTATCTAGGACATTCAAAGTTTGAACAAATCCAGAGCAATTGGAGTCCCATAAGATAATGGTATTATTCGCTATCCATGGTGGCATCTTAACCTGTGTCTCTTGGACTTCATTTGGGTCTCAAACAGTGGGTCACTTAATTTTTGTTAGTTTTTCCTTACATTTGGAGGACCATTTTCTTATACCATGTCTAGTTTCAGGTGCTTGGTGTGTGCCAGACATTGGCATGGTAGAAAAAACTCTGACTAAGCTGGAGCTTATGAACTTAAGCATCTCAGTATCCCTTATTTAATTTTAATCGTAGAGACTCTAAATTTGTATGTATTTTTGATTTGATAATAAAATGCAGGGTTCATATGCACATAATTGATAAAGCCATGAATGTGGTCTAGGATATATTGACTTTGAAAGCATGTTAGATTGAAATAATTGGAGTGAAATTAGTATGTAAATTATAAAGTAAAGAGGCTTCATTTTGTCAACGTTTATGATGTAGTAGTATGACCCAGATCTCAATTTGTTAGTTTGTTTTCTTAAAACCTTACTATCTTTTAAATAAGGAGGGGAAACAAATTGCCGAGAGAAAGCTGGAGGGAAGGCATGTTTTTTCCCTTTTGAATGTTGCTTAATCCCTAGAAGCTTCTGCTACAGAAGTGCTAATTGCTGTTCATTTATAGGTATTGAGAACATTATCACATTTTGCTGCTGTAGGTCGTCCATGCATTTGTGATCTTTCTTTCCTTACATTTGAAAGCTTACTTTTGTTATTGTAAACCTAGGTTTGTGAAACTAATCGATCTATAATGTGCGTATATCTATCCTGCCTTGTTTATATTTTATTTTATTTTGTAAACCAGCATGTAAATGTATCTTTGTGGCAAGATATCTGTATTGCACATACTTAGTTTCATGATAAATAGATGATAATGATTTATCATATCAAAGGAGATCAAGCAGGCTTATGATTTTAATAGTTTGAAATATACTATTGTCATAATAACTCGGAGCTTGGATGATTGAATTTGTATAGAGAAAACATGAATACAAACTCTATAGTAGAAATGCTGGGTATTTTGGTGAAATAGTAATGAGTTATGGCATTCTGATGATATCGAAAATCGAACACTTCCAGTTATACTAACATGTTATGCGTTCATTTTTTCACTACCAGGTTGACATGAGAGCTAGGATTCGTGGAAACAAAGGCTACTGAATGGGGGATGATCTGTTCTCTACTTGTACATGGTTTACTGCATGGCACCTTTGAAATTTTCGTTTTTGTCTCCCTTCCCAAGTTGCCTCCTGAGTAACAGTTTTTGGGTTAGCTTCAACCTTGGACCTTGTCTACACATTTTAAATGAGGATACACGAATCTCCACAAGATGTTGAGCATTTAAGATATGGATGTTATTATTCTGTAAAATTCTTGGTGTCACGAGTCATTGTTAGAGTCAGATATAACTATGAAAAATAATGAGCTTATAACTGGAGTATTTTGGATTTTTCGAAAGTGGATTTAGGGATCTGAATTTTGGACTCTTATTGCTAAGATTGGTATTCTTTCGTTTTTTGCAAAATGACTGTCGATAAGTCACGTTCTGTGTTGCTTGAAGCAATTAAAGATCATCTTTTCAAAGAATGGGGACTGGACAGTTACGTTTATGGAGAATTTTGTGTCTGTGCATAATGGATGAACAGGGGCAAAACTTGATGAGATATTGCACGTCTTTGATGATCCACCAGATTGTGTTGACCTTCTTTTATATGAATAGCTTGGTTCAGATTTCCTCCAGTTTAATTAGCACGTTAAGCTTTTAGCAATTTCTCTTTGTATCAATAGAAACCAAGTTTCTGTAAGTTTAATTTACATGTGAATTGGCCCGTCATTTTTCTACTCCAGTAAAGGGCTCAATATATGATGCTGTGACACCCTAGATTGAATACATTAGAGTTATCCAAATAATAGGGACTCAAAATGATTAACTGCAAAAGTTAATCTCAACAGGACAAGTTCAAGAAATCACCATCGATTAATCAAAGGTTCACAAACTCTCTGCTGCTAGAGTGCTTTGAACATGAACGTATGATTATTCTGTTTTAGTTGATCAATACTTTCATATGAGTGTGTTCTTACCTCACTTTCATCCTAAAATTGGAACTTCAAACCTTAAATTTTAAATCCAATCATCGGAAAAGGAAAAAAAAAAGCATCAAAATGTTTGTTGCCATGTATTATTAGTTCCTAAAAGTATGAATTGGTGTTGAAACCACATGCCTATCCTATAAGACTGGGTCCTCTTGACCACAAAGCATACCACCTTCTAAACCAATCATTCTCAAAAATTACTCTCACATCAACCAACATAAACCGCTTTCTTCCTTATTTATATACCCACTTTACAAACACAATTTTTGCGTTCAATTGTTTCGTCGTCGTCAAACAAAGGTAAAGTTCCATTAGAAATCAAAATGGCAATCTTAAACCTTGTTAACAACGTTTTCAGTATTGGTAACTTTGGAGCTACCATCACTAGGAATAGGTTTGTTTCAGCAGCTGTCAGGCCAAGACTTATTCAAGTAATTTTTCCTTCTCAGTTCAGTCTTTAGCTTCACAGGTTTGGCCTAGTTGGCAATAATTAAGCGAGTTCTTGTTTGAAATACTTATTTATTTATGTTTTGATGTGCTCTAGGCAAGTTCGAAGCAGGAAGCTCAGGCAGCATGTGACAAGGCAAAGGAGGCTGTCAAACAAGGAGCTAATGAAGCAAAGAAGACTGGTGAAAACATAAAGGATAAGGCTTCTTCGACAGCAAACCAAGTAATAAATTAAAATCCTATTCTTTCAGGCTCAAAGTCTCCAGTTTTTAATTGTCGGGATGTTGTCTTTGGGATTACGTTGATATATTTCTCGTTTCGGTTAGTATAATTGCGTGAACAGGTTTCTTAGCAAAAAATTTGATGAATATATGTATAGGTGGGACAGAAGACAAAGGAAATGGCTGGCAAGGCAACGGATGCAGCGCAAGAAATGACTGCGAAAGCAAAGCAGACTGCGCAAAACGCTTGGGATTCAGCCAAGGAGACAGCTCAAAAGGCCAAAGACACTGTGCTAGGAAAGGCCGAGGAAACAAAGGAAGCTATTAAAGAAAATGCAGAAAAAATTAAGCAAAGCATCAACACCAAAAACTGATACATTCCAAAGGTCAAACCACAAGAAATTAATTCCCCATTAGGCTAACAAGCCAATAAATTGGTGCACCTTATTCGTTCTTTGGAGCCCTTTTTCCTTTGCTTCTCTGTTTTGGCTCTTTTCATTGGCAGTTGTGAAGTATTATGTATAAATTATCCTGTTAATAAAGTTTTTGGGATTTTGTAAAAGTATATATACTTATCACCCCTAAACAGAACTTTTTGGGTAAAATACATTAACATCTTTAAGTTTTAACTATAATTTTACGCACATTCATTAGTTTTTGAAACATATAATTTATTTCAAAAAATATATTCCGATGAACATATAAGTCTAGCTGTAGAAATTGGATGGTGGATTATGCCTTGGATAACTGGTAGACTTTATGTTGTAAATAATCTGAGAATAGAGGTTGTTTGGATTCCCCAAATAAGGGTGAATTGAGAGTTTATGTTGACAAATCAGCTAAAGGGAGTCCCAGGTTGACAAGTTGTGGGGGAGTGCTTAGAGACTGTAATGGTAATGTAATGAGTTAGCTCTTAGGTCTTTTGGGCATATAAGAGCCTAATTATGCAGATTTTAGCCATTCAAACTGCTAGATATCTTTATGTTGATTCTCCATGGAGAAGTATTAAATCTTTGGTGATTAAGTTAGATTCATGAGTTGCCTGTTCATGGGTTCTTACATCGGATACTAGGTCATGGGTTTTGCCAAAGGTTTTTGCTGATATTGACAAGTTGTAGAAAATGATTAGTAAAGTTAGATACAAGTAGATTTACAAGGAGGCTAATCATTTTGCAAACGCACTTGCAAAAATGAGAGTGGATTGACTCATCATGTTTAATGCGTGTTAGTGATTAGATATATGCAACAAAAATGGGCATTGATACACTTGATAGGATCAGTGTGCATTGTGGGTTGGACACATGATGCAGAATGCTTTATCTCTTTAGGCGATCATCTGTGGCTTGTTTTGACCTTTCATGTGTTTTTTTTTTTTGGTGGTTTTATGTGCAAAGGAGTTATTGTAGTTTATTTTATGTTGCCATATGCGTTTTTGTATTAAGTGTTTCTTTTTCCAATTCATTATTTTGAACTGTGATGCTGTACAAGCTTTTCCTATTAATACAAGTGACTGTTGCACGAGTTAAAATTTTTTTTGATAGACTTTATATAATCCATAGTTCATAATTGTAATCAAACATTAAAGGTGACATGCTATGCTCTTTCCTCTTACCTATAAAGGCTATTTTCAAGTCAAAGTCAGATATTGATGATAATAACTTGGCGTCGGGTCAAGTTGAGGACTAATAATAACTCAATTTTGGGTTTTGTTGAGTCCGGACGAGGATATCAAAAAGTAAGGGTGGATTCGGGGTGGGCAATTATCCAACCGCGTGGCTTACCACATTGAGGTCCCTAGTTTTGACCTATACCTTGCGTTGGGGCTGTTAACCCTTACCGGAATGCCATTAACCTTTATGAGGTGTGGTGGAGGAGCAGCACCAAGCCTAGGCTGTTGCTTGCTTTGCTTGATTAATGAAAGCTTCTGTATCATGTATGGTATTTTAACGTACTCGCCTAATATTAGTGATTAATATATATAACCTGATTTGTTGGTATTTATGATGCGCAAATCCTTTTAGTTTTGGCTGTTAATTAGTATTGGGCTTTGCATTACTATGGATTAAAGGATTAAAGTTGCCTAACATCGACCTAAGCTTTTGTTGTAATGGCAAGCATTTTCATTCTAACAATAGATATATTAGACCAAGTGTGATGAGCTCCAAAATTCCAAAGTTCGAGAGAGGCAATGGCAGATGAGCTCCTTTAACTCTAAGCAGCATGAATGTCGATTAGTGGATTAGCGACATCAGTAAAGAGAGTAAACCAGGGAGTTTAGGGTTTCAAAGGTTGACAATTTAGGGTTTCAAAATGAAACTCACGATTAGGAGGGATGGGGGGAATTAATGAAGGCTATATATACTATATTGGTTTTTTGATCAATTTATAAGGGAAAGTTTCCTCGTCGATAATTGAACTGATCTACTGAGCAAATCATGGGAACCAACAGAGAAGCTAAATATTGTCAATCTCTCGAGCCGTTTGTGGCCGAAAACAGTCAGACACCAATCGATTGGCCGGTTACCACTAATGGTTGCTCACCTTGGGTAGAAATAGTCAAATTATGAGTGACCTACTAAGAACAACAATTTAAGTCCCTTTAGAGTTAATTGTTGTCCTTTTTAATGATGGAGACAGGATTTCACATTTGGGAGGGCAAATAAGAGGTGAGTTTGTCGTTGGGTCTTGAAACAATAGAACTTCAAAATAATTCTATTGTAATAGATTTTATATTAATCTCTAAATCTATTAAAATTAATTGTTGACTAATTGTTATGAGACATTTTAGCAAACAAAAGAATTGTTGTAAGAGCAAAATTATAAAATTTTAAAAAAATAAAAATATATTATAAAATTTTAAAATTTTTAAAAGAAGGGCCAGGAGCTCCGACCAACACCCCATTCCCTCTGTCATTGGTCCTTTGGAAGGAGGGGGGAGGGGGGCAGCGCAAGGTATGTGTGTATGGGCATAATACCAATATAATAGCTCAACCATTACTAGTTACTAAGACCCGTTTGGTAGCTAGGGAGGATAAAAGCGAGGAAGGAAGGAGACGGTTTTGATTCAAAATGTAGTTACGAAAACTAGTCATTAGATTATAGGGAAAATTTATCATTTCTCTTTTTCATCTTTCCTACCAAACAAAGCCTATAAACCTTCATGCTTGTCGGTCAACTAAATGCTGGACTTTCCATTTACATAGGAATACTATATTGGTGTTTTAATCTAAACCAGATAGAATTTTAGAGTTAAAGCGTGCTCAAATGATGTATTGGAAAAAAAAAAATTAAATGTGACGAAATTAATTAATGTATAAAAGATCCATTTTGTAAAATAACATCTTACCCAATGCCCTTAAGAGTTTTTTTTTTTAGCAAACTTCTTTGGAGATAACTTAAACAAGCAACAAATTATATCTTTTTATTCTCTTGTTTGTTTCCTTGTTAACATATTTTCGATCTCTTTTAAACACTATACATTGGTTCATTTAACCTTGTATATTCTATATAAGAGAATTTCAAGACTGATTTATCTTAGGGAACTTAATTTGAAATGAAGGAGTTTAGATATTTAATTTTAATCATTAAAAATGTTATGCCATAAATTCATAAAAACGTAACACCATGATTACAGTTGAATTCATGAATTTGTCACATTTCAAGTAAGTATATAGTGAATTTGATATACACGAATCCTAATGTGAATTTTAAATTTGTTGGTTATGCTCTATTAAATAAATAGGTATTTTATATGTTTAAATCAGATCTTACTTTCCAAAAAAAAAAAAAATTGTAAACCTGTTTACATTCATCCTCACAATTAATTTGTATAACAAATAAAATCCAAATTCAATCTTCAAAAATTCATGTTATAGATGAATTTCCATCCTCACAATTAATTTTTGAATAATTTCTCTAGTTTGCATTTTATTCTTGATCCTCAACTTCTCAATCGCTTAATTCAAGTCCCAAATCCTTTTAAGGCATTACAATATAGTCCTTTTCGTTACATAGTTCAGTTAAATTCGACGAAAAGTGCTTACTAAACAATCATCTAGGCATTTCTGTTTATTTGAGAGGAATTATTTAATGGTATTACGTTACTAAAACAACATAAAGAGGTTTTGGATTTTACTGAAACAATTAAAAGGAGTTAGTCACCAAAATGAGTTTTTACTAAAAGGTTGGGGACTTTGGGTTCCTCAACAGGGAAAGGAATGTACAATATCTAAAAAAGCGCTCAAAATATTTTAAAAATTTAAATAAGCTCTTAAGTTTTTATTGTATTTAATCAAGCGTTTATATTTTTATTTTAAACTAAATTTTACAAATTCGTATTTATTGAATCACTATAAACATTAAAAATAAACATTATAATTATTGATCTTTTACCACTTTTAATTTACTATCTTGCTATCAACCATTTCAAATTACTAGCTCGTTCAAATTGATATTCACCAATTCAAGATGTTTTGCAAAACCTTCCAAAATTAAGAGCCGTGCACAGATCAACTTAAATTTAATAAAAGGAAAGTATAATCTATCCAGCATTCTTTCGGCTATTTAAGGTTAATGTAAAATTATGATTAAATGTTTACCATAAATGAGCGGTTCTCACTATATATATTTGTATAAATTGAAAAGAAACAACCCATCAATTTTTTTTTTTTAAGATTAAAGGGTAGCAGCTCCTTCTTTGTCTCTGAAAAGGTTAGTACAAAGAATGATTTTGCAAAAAAAAGAAGTTATACTTTTTATGATTATGTTTAGATTTACGATTACTGTAATGTTAATTTATATACAGAATGAATGAAAACTTATAATTATGTATAGTTTTATGGAATAAATAGTCTTTCGTAATTTAGATATAGATTTTGCGGCTGTCTCCCATTTGATATTTTAACCTCTTTTCTAAGAACACGAGGTCATTATCTTTATAGGAGATAAATTCTAACTTTTATTTACTTCATGATTGTTTTCTTAGTTTTTTCTTTTCCATTGTTATATATTCTTTTCATTTCCCTTTTGTATTCTTCATACAGGATTGAAGGTGTATTAACTCTATTCGTGAAGTCGACTAAGCATACTAGAAAAGTGGTAATATTTTCTCGATTACAGTTACAAAACACACAATCACACATTTCGTACATATCTTTATTAGTATATGGAAAATTTCAGGCATGACTTTGTTTTCTAGATTAATTAGACACCAATAAATTATGATGAAGGTAAAACCTCCTTAAGAACAATTTAAATTGGAATTTTTAGTTTTCTATTTGGTTTAATTGCAATTCACCAACTTAATTATTTTTCTTCCACTCTGTGACAAATCATAGTCTGCTACCAAATCTTGAGGCACAAAGGTAGCTTTTATTGAAATTAACATATAGATTTTTATATTTTATTTCTCAATCTTGACATTTAAACTTATACTTTGCTAGATGATCTTCAAGTTTAAATTGATCTATGAGTTGTTAATTTATTGTAGATGAAGCATATCATTAAAATCAGTATGACTTAATTAAAGTGTCAGTGGAGAAAAAGAAATTTGACGATTATATTCATTTTA